GAAGTTCCTCATGGAACTCGGCCATGATCAAGACAAGTACGAGCTGGGTTGTGACAATCAAAGCGCAATCCATCTTGCGAAGAATTCAACCTATCACTCCTGCACTAAGCATATTGATGTGAGGTATCACTGGATCCGGGATGTGGTGGAAGGTGGAGAGCTCGAACTCGTCAAGGTGCACACTGACCAAAATTGGTCCGACATGATGACAAAGCCGGTTCCAACAAGAAAATTTGAAGACTGCTGTGAAGGAGCCGGGTTGATGCTGAAGCCGTCGCATTGAAGTCGGAGGGGGAGATTTGTTGGGCTTCCTCCTTCAATGCTAAGCCCAAGCCCATTTGAGGGGTTTCCTAAAAACCCTAACCCTAATTTCCACCTCCTCTATATATACTCATTAGTTGAGGGTGGAGGCTAGGTCAGATTTGAGAGAACAAATTTGAGAGAATTATTTGATTGTTTGAGCAAGGCTTTATGCTTTGCATTTGAAAGATCTCTAGAGAGAGAGTTTGAGTGAAACATCTCTAGGGTATTTTGATTATCACCATTGTTGGAGAGGTTGAGCTAACCACCACATTGGTGTATTTGATTATTTGTAACCATTATTTTCATAGTGGATTTTTGATCTGGACTAGGTCCCGTGGGTTTTTACTTCTTCATTGGAGAAGGTTTTCCCACGTTAAATCTGGTTGTGTTCTTCTTCTCTCTCTCCTGTTTTCATTTTGATTTTTCCGCTGCGCTACTTGACCTGGTGAAGTTCAGGCCGAGGTATTGCCGAGATCCGAGATCAGGATCTTGTTGATTGACTTCCGCACAAAAGGCCCCTGAGCCGATCTGAGGGAACCGAATTTTCCCAACACCTACCTATGAAGATTTAGAAAAACCATTTAAGTAGATTAACAAAATAATACTTGAAAGAAACTTTTTATTGTTCACTATATATATATATATATATATATATATATATATATATATATATATTCCTTTGAGAGTTTAGATTGTGTATATATAAACACTTATAACATCCTTTATCAAATTAAATGAAAGATTCATAAAGAATTTTTTATGTTGTAATTTGAAGAGACCAGTGTGTAAAAAAAAAAAAAATCATCTGTGTACAGAATTTTTGTTGTTGTACATGCCTACAATTGTTAGAGTAGAAGAAAAACTATTGTGCACAATTGAGCAGAGAGATACATGTGAATAAGTAGCAAAATGAATTAAGCTGTTAATTTTTAATAGTACTGACAGATATATAATAGAATATGGCTGGGGGTTAATTCTTTTATTTAGTTAACATTATTTCATTGAAGTTCATAAATGAATAAAGAGAAAGACATTCCCCCGCTTTGCTTAAAGTGTCAAGGGTCTTTGTTTAGGTTAGGACCAAGAAACTTGCGTGCCTTTCAAGGGTGTGAAGGAGTGTGTGAGTAATTGGGACCCTCCTCATGTGTCTATGTCCCATTTACCTGTGATATTCAATCTGATTTCTGATGATTCAGATGAAACTATCAATTTTCATATCAAGTGGAGTCTGACTTGGTTCCACCACAAATACACTATAAATACAATAGGCCTTCTCCCCAAACCATTCAAATGTGGCATTGAACTTGATGTTTTTTTATTTTATATTCATGATATATTATCGTTTGCAAGTCCAAGTCGAGGTCCATTATTTAACTGGACAAGTTATTAATTTTTTCTTTTAGCATTCATTTGCTATAATACAAGAAAATATCGTTTGACGATAAAACAAATGTTAATCATACATCATCATATCTCGTAGAGTTAGGATATATGTGTGTGTGAAAATAACATAAAATTCATTATAATTAAAAGTAACATGTGTCTGAGTGAAGATATTTTTTATGTCAAATGATTTATTATTTGCATGATTCCTGTCCCCTCAATCCCACGTCCGGCAGTTTTCAAGAAAAGAAGTCAAAAAGGTAAAAATAAATCATAGCATATGCTACTTATTCCTTTTCCAGAGATCAACCAAGCCAACCACAAAATTGAAGAAAATATAAAAATTGACAGAAAAGTAATAAAAAAAAGGACCCATTAGGATGACAATGATGAGAAGTGGCCACCACTGCCCGGTTTCTGCTTCCCAAAACAGATGGACTCTTTTGTTCTTACATAATTATTAAAGGAAACAAAAAAAAAAAAAATCGACAATTTTGAGCAATGGCGAAGCTAGATTTTTTTAGGGGTAAAATTACATCTATGTTAAAATTTATAATTAAAATAAAAATGATATAATTAAATATAAATATTCATAATATAAAAATCATACTATATAAATTATAATACAATATAATATGATATCAATAAAAATAAGAAAAATGTTATATTTACAAATTTTTTGTTTACAAACTACATTATATCTCATACTTTAATCAAGAGTGTATCACGATCATAATTAATATAGTTTGTAAAAAAAAATTATAACCGATCTTTCCCCATATTCATATTTAGGAAGAGTGGTCATTTTGTCACTGTTCCCAATTTTTTTTACCTATATGTCATGCCAACAACGTTATTTACCACACTGCCACGCGTTGAAGTTCGCAACCACTGATAACGAACTTGGTAGCCAATAATTTTTTGACACTTGACACACTTTTGCATAAAAAGCTCACTGCCACATGTCCAAGTTCACTACGACTGGTAGCGAACTTGGTAGCCAATGATTCTGTGACACGTAACACATTTTCACCGAAAAAGTTGACTGAACAAAGTTCGCTACTAGTGGTAGGGAATTCGTGTGCTACGTGGCACAATCTCGTTGCCAATCAGAATTAATGTACCAATCACAATCTAAAAAAGAAGAAGAAAAATGACTATTTAATTAATGTATTAATCACAATTAATGTACCAATCACAATTAATGTACCAATCACCAATCACAATTAATGTATCAATTACCAACCACAATTAATTATCAATTACCAATCACAATTAATGTATCAATGACGAATCATAATTAATGTACCAATCACAATTAATTTTGATTGATACATTAATTGTGATTGGTGATTGGTATATTAATTGTTTATGATATCATTGTTACAAATTCAAACGATATTTGTGAGAGATAAAATATGTCAAATGAGGTGTCATTGGGTAGATCTCGAAAAGTTATATGAAATAAAATAAAAAATATCTGGTTTGGATATACGAATCAAAAGTTATGCCCCTCCGAAGTGATTGGTGATTGGTACATTAGTTGTGATTGGTACAATCAAAAGTTAATCCTATTTGTACGCTAATTGTGATTGATACATTAATTGTGATTACTAATCGACACATTAATTTTGATTGGCACATTAATTAAATTGCCATTTTTTTAATTTTTTGTGTTTTATTGTGATTGATATATTAATTGTGATTGCTAATTGGCACATTAATTTTGATTGGCACATTAATTAAATTGCCATTTTCCTTCATTTTCTGTGTTTTATTGTGATTGATACATTAATTCTGATTGTGCCACGTGACACGTAGTTCGCTTGGACCTTCAGCGAACTTGCTGCATGTCAGACACGTGGCACACCTAGTTCGTTGCATGTGGCAGCGAACTTCTCCAATGTGTCAGCATTTATTGTAACATAGTTCGCTATTGGTAATAGCAAACTTCTTCTCCACCAGAAACGTGTCACGTCAGCATTCGCTATTGGTAATAGCAAACTTCTTCTCCACCAGAAACGTGTCACGTCAGCAAACGAAGTTCGTTGGGCACTATAACGAACTTGCCTACGTGACATATTGAGAAATAACATTGTTCGCGTGATATTTAGGTAAAAAAGATTGAGAACTGGTGTCATTTTGGTCACAGTTGCTCATATTTAATAGTTGATTCCGAAAGTCAAGGGGAGATCTCTCGCTCCACCACTGTTTTTGAGTATGCCCTGGCTGGCCTATATCTCAACGTGCTTTCCTATTAGTTACCACGTTGCTTTCTTTTTTCCTCTCTTAACTCTGCAACTGTAGTAGTTTGTACACTTTGTAGTAGTTGCCTTGTTGAAAACTCTTGGGTGTCACTTTCCTTTGGCTTAGTCAATAATCGAGTACCAAACAATTCTGGTGAGTGTTGGAGTGAAGGGTGGTCCACAACGTGCTCTCTTTGACACTTTTCTCGTCATTTGGTTTCAAATGGGAAGTGGGTTTAAGCTCTCTCGTTGTATTTCCATCTGAACTAAACTAAAGACCAAGAAGCTCAGGGAAAAGGACTACCAGGTTGGTTTCTGCATTTTCCTTGTTACCTTCTCTATTTGAAGTAAACAACTGGGTTGCTTGTAATTTTGTTTTTTGGGAGCTGCTAGAAGAAGAGTTAGTTAATTGATGCAGGAAAAGTAACCACCTTTACTTACTCAAGTCTGTTGCCTTAACTTGGTTTAATTGGGGTGGAGTGCTTTTGAATTTTTAGAATCCTATGCAGAAGAAACCAGTAACTAACTCTTTATCATATTATTTGTTAGTGAAGTGGCTGTCTCATTCTTTATCTGTCTTCCAATATAACTGTTGTTGTCATTGGACATTGTATCAACTATCAAGGGCTTTTAGTTTTTAGTTTTGACTATGTTGGCCTAAGAGGTTACTGATTTTGGTTGTGAATTATGATAATATCATCTGTCTCTCTTTCTCTTCAAATGTTTATTGTTTATCGTGGTCACTCTTTAATAACATAAGTCATTAAAAAATTTCTTTATATGATATCATAGCTTCACTGGTTATTAGAAGGTCACGAGTTCGATTCTTATCGGCTCTCAAGTTAAACCAAAAATTGGGTCTGTGAAATATTCACAGTTCAAGTCCAAAGAGCCCTGCGTAAGGGGACATGTTAAAGAATAATATAAACCATTAGAAAAACTATCACCTAACATCTTAATATTTTGGGTTCAAGTGATTCTTCACACTCTCCCAACTTGAATTTGAATTTACTTTTGTCTTTTTTTATGGATAAGTATAGGTGAAACTTCTTCCATCTTTTTTCATTCATGGGTAAGATGACATCTTCTGCAACACAGCCTGTATCTCGAGAGGCTTCCAATTATGATGAAGTTTTCATGCAGCAGAGCTTGCTCTTTGATGATAGTCTGAAGGTAACTTTGATCCAGTGCTTCCTCTTTCTTTTATACTACACTTGATACCCCTGGTTTTCACTGTAAAAATTGCTGTCTAATGCAATTTTTACTTTAATTTATAATGGAATTCTTATGTAAGTGGGTGGGCTCTAGTAAAGATGCGTTTTGATAAAAAAAAATTGTTTATTTTTTCATCTATATTACTAGGATTTGAAAAATCTGAGAACACAGTTATACTCAGCAGCTGAATATTTTGAACTCTCATACATCAATGATGACCAAAAACACATGTGAGTTACTTTGCTTGAGTTGGTCTATATTTATGCTGATATAATTATATCCTTTATCCCTTTCTTTACTTTTCATTTTCTTTCTTATTACCTTATGTTTGCAGAGTGGTTGAAACATTGAAAGAATATGCCATAAAAGCTCTTATAAATACGGTAGACCATTTAGGTTCTGTGACCTATAAGGTAAATGACTTGTTAGATGAAAAGATTGTTGAAGCTTCTGGAGCAGAGTTACGTTTGTCATGTATAGAACAGGTATACTCAATAGTTTCCATTCACCGTCAGAAAAGCAAATCTGTTAAAGGAATGTTGAAAGTAATTGCTAAGATGAATAGTTGATTAAATTTCATACCATAATTCATTTATTGAAATCATCAAACATGACTTAGTAGGTGATGTAACTGTTTGAAATAGTTGTAAGTTATGTTTGCTGCTTTGAGGTGATGAGATTTATTATTTTATAGCCATGCCGAAAAGCAGTCCTTGGATGGCTCTTATACTCCAAATAATCCTCTCTAGGAATTATCTTTTAGAAATATTAAGATGTGAGTAGCGGTGAAGTCTTACATCTGTTAGAAATAAATCAAGCGAGGACTATATAAGTGCAAAAAGACTCATTTACATACAATCTTAAGATTTTGGGTTGAATTGTAATGTGCCCAATTATTGTATTTTTCATCCACATACTAGGGAAACAAAATTTTGAGAAGATGGTAATATTGTATTTCCTTAATGTGGCACATTAGAGAATAAGGACGTGCCAAGCCTTTATGGATCATGAGGGGCGTACACAGCAGTCACTGGTGATCAATACTCCAAAGTACAATAAGCGTTATATTTTGCCAGGCAAGTTTATAAGACATTATCCTCTACTCTATCTTAAAATTATCAAGGGAAATTTCTGTTATATTTTATTCATTTTATTTATTAATAAGCATGTCTGTGATGTTTAATGATCACATTCCTTAAATTCATAAGTTCAGCTGGGGAGACCATGCATGGTGCCAACTTCACAAAATCAAAATATATGGGATGCAGCCTAGATGATGAAGATGATTGGCATCACTTCAGGAATGGTATCTTTTTTCTCTCCACTATTTTTCATTCCACTTATTTATGGAATAACCTTAACCATATGTTAATATATCGTTTATTCTGATTTGTATCCCAAAGCTGTTCGAGCTACAATAAGAGAAACGCCTACATCTACAGTGAGGTAATTACAAATTCTGTATATAATTCCTAAATTGCACTATCATCTAGACACAATTCTTTAATTCTCCATGTTGGTGCAGTAAAGGGCGTTCCCCATCACCTCTACAATCTCAGAGATCTGGAGCTTTTTCATTCACTTCACCCAAGCCAAAAACAGATTTAGGTAGTATACAACAATCAATAACATGATATTTTATAGTTAATCTAACTTTTAATGTGGTCTCCCATATTCCCTCCTCTTATTTTCTTTGTCATTTTCACATTAAGACTAAACATCTGAATCTTGTTATTAGTATTTGAATTGCAATCTTAACATGTCCTGCAGAGAAGCGGACAGTATCACCACACAGATTTGCACTTTTACGTGCTGGATCTATGTCAAGTAGGCCTAAGACCCCAAAGACCACTAGATCAACAACTCCAAACTCAAGCAGCAGACCAACAACACCAAGTCCTTCTAATGCAAGATTAAGGGTAAGTGGAAGGAAATTCCTTGACACAATGGTTAGTGTCGGAGGTCGCATGTTGGATTTATGTAATCATTATGACATTATCTTGCAAATGCAGGATAATGTTGTTTTCTATAGACCCCCATAATGGGTTTGGCTCTTTACTAAGCAGGAGCTTTATAGCACTAGGTTGGCTTTATTGCAATAAGTATATGACATGAATCATGACTGTATTCTCAGTACATTGCTTTGCCTTATGTTTTCTACCAGTATCCTTCGGAGTCGCTTAAATCAGCTTCAATGCGATTACCTGCTGAAAGAGGTAACATCAAAGATATACAACAACACCCCAGTAAAAGTAAACGTCTCTTGAAGGCCTTACTTAGCAGGCGCAAGTCTAAGAAGGATGACATGCTATACACTTACTTGGACGAGTACTGATGATAGCTTGATACAATTCCCTTTAGAATTCAAGGGAAAGAGTTCATAGAAGCGAGGAAACCACTCAGTTTTACCAGTTTGATTTAATAGGTTGCACTTCTTTGTTACTTCCTTCTTCTTCTTTTTTTTTTTTTTTTAATGTCCATTTCTTTGTCATTTGAAATGAAACATTTATATGGTAATTATTTTACTGTAAGCTCCTAATGTTATCTTGTATGATGTCTCAATGCAATTGTTCATCAGTTGAATTTTGTTGTCTATTTTTGGTGCTTCATCAGCTTTATTCTTTTAAAAAATGGATATTATGATTCTCTTTAGTGCTGTAACTGGAAGAGAGGCACCGCTGCCCATTCATCACTTTTATATTAACTATTAACTGAAAACAAACTTCTAAAACATCTTAGGAAAAACAAGTGCTATGGTATCTCTGCCAGTAATTTAGTAGATAGTAGACTAGTGGATTGGTGACTTTGAGCATCCCATAAATGCTTGAAACATCAACAAACTTGCTGGGCTTCCAGCTTTCCTCATGTATACAAATTCATAAGCGAATGTGATATTTTTCTTCCTTGAAAGAAGCAAGTAATAGTACATTTTAACGGTGGAAGAACACTTAAATAATCCAACAACAAAGATAAGGAGACGTCAAAACTCCATTCCTTGACCAAATTCTTCAATTGTTTTCGTGGCTAGTGTAAGGACATCTACAAAAGCACTGAATGATGCCCGAAGAAATCTGGCTTCTATTGCCTCAAAGTGCCTGGATGAGAATGATTGAAACGGAGAGGAAAAAGTTAGATTACACATTCAGCATGCCCTTGAAGCTAAATTGATTAATGACAGCAGCAAATGAATCTTTTCGGACAAAAGACAGCCGAAAATTAATGACTAAACAGAAAGTTTGCCTCATATTCGAGATGATATATTTATAATTGTAGTCATCGTCATAACAACAATTAACGAAAAAAATCATTTCAGTTAAACAAACATGATGCAGTCCTTACTCCTTATGTATCTATACAAAGTATTTCATCCAGGGAAAAGATGGCCGAAATTTGATTACAAATTTCACCTGAGTTATCAAAACAATGTATTTTAAATCATATTCACTCTTGAGAACATAACAACTATTGCATTTACTGTCCAAAGGGTAGTAGGTTTAATTCTTGAGAGTCGCAACTCATGGGGAGGGTGGAAAAGCTTAAACCTGGACCAAATAGTCGGGCTCTTTAGTACTTCGAACATTAGTTGATGGAAAAAAAAAGGTATCATTTTAAAAGGACACGAGTTGTGTCATTTTAGATAATTTATACAAAGTATGACCGGTCATACTTTGTGCAAATCTGAAAAGTTATTCTTTTTTTTTTCTCCTCGTTCACATGCTGGCATGTAAAATGAAAAGAAAGTAATTTTTCAGAATTACACACAGTAAGTCACTAAAATAACATAACTTGTGTCTTTTTAAATGAGAAACTCAAACCCAACCCTTAGTTAATATCTACCAAAAAAAACTATTGCATTTAAACGGGAAATGATGACCTAATCATGAGACCGCAAACTCATTCACAAAAAATTAAACTATTAACAGCAAAGAGTATACTCACACTGATAACTTTCCATTAGACACCGTCATGAGTCGTTTTACCTTATCAGGTTGCAACTGCAGAAGACATGGAATTGAATAAAAACCATTTCAAAAACTATTGGTAAAGCATAAGAGAAAGTTCATATCTTCAGACAATCACCTCCTTATCAACGGCTAAGGCAGCAAATACAATGGAAGCATTCTCTTCAGATCCAAAATCCACTTCCAGGTCACTGTTATTGTCATTCCATTTTTAATAATACACACTTGTAAATACTAATTTCAGTACAAAAGAAATAGGGAAGAGATGTTATCAAAATTGAGAACACATTAAAATCTTAACCGCAGGAAAAGAGAGAGAGAGAGAGAGAGAGAGAGAGAGAGAGAGAGTAACCAGGCGAATTCCCATTGGGATTGGGTGTCTGGTGAGGAAGCCATGCGTGACCCACAAACCGAACCCTGCAAACAAATTCAAACACTGTGCTTTGAATCCTGAAGCTCAAACTCGAAGGGATTTAGCTCAGTCCTCTGCGTAATGTTGCGCCTGATACGACCACGTTTCATAGGCAATTTAACGGCGTCGTATTTGAAGCTGTGTGGTGCAATTAAAGTTATCAAAATGGGTTAGCCCATGATGATGCCAATCATGGAGCAGCCCAGTATCAAATTTGTCAAAAAAAAAAAACCATGTTTGATTTATTTTCTGGTTTCTATACCCACCATGGATAATTTTCAATTACTTTATTATTCTTTCTTGGCAACAAAGCACATTAAGTTTATTTTTTATTTCTTTTAACCATAGAAAATAAATAAATTTTCTCATCAATGTCCCTGTTTGAGAAGTTTTATGTCAACTCAATTTATATAGTTGGTGTTGCTTTAATAAAAAATTGATATATCAATGTTTCTATTAAATAAATTAAATTATATAAAAAAAAAAAATTATGTCAGTTTTAGTTGGTGAATGATTTTTGCATTTTAAAAAGGGATATACGCATGGATGGCAGGAAATAACTGCTGCATGATCCAAAAATTAAATGTATAAATATAAAAGAATGTAAAATTATATTTAGTATAAAAAATACAAGAGGATAGAAATCAAACAAAATACTATTGCCGAAGAAAATTATAAACCAATTTGGTAAAAAAATTCACTTATTTCATATTAGTATCTAAATTCATAAAACTTAACACAAAGTCCCTAAAGTGTTATTTTTCCCTAAAAATATTGCTCGTATTTCGCAGTAGTCCCTATTTTTTACAAGTCTAACATTAAATCCTTATAATATTAGGTTACTAAGTAAGCTAGTCCCTAATTAAGTTGGTCCATTTTTTCTTAATGAAAATGACAATATGGCACATTAAGTTGTTAATTGCTAATATAGTCCTAGGATAGCATCATGTAAATATTATTTTGAATATGAACAAAATAACGACGTTTTGATAGAAACCAATTCATTTTGGACTAATGTTGGTAGCTTAATGTGTCACATTGAATTAAATTATATAAATATAATTTTTTTTCGTAGAAAAATTATACAATATATTAAATGTGACTTGTTTGGTAATGTTTTAAATACAGGCAGAATTAAAAAAAAAAAAATGTTTCAGGTTAGGATCCGACTTATTTCAAACTAGTTATAAAGGAAAATTGTTTTTTCCACGCTAACATTCATCATTGCAGTTGTTATTAAATGGCTACGTCAGCGGCTTAACCTATCACAATAAAACTCTGACAACAAAAATAAACTCGACCTAACTCAATAACTATCCTACTTCGAAAACTGATATTTTTAAAATTGAGATAGATACGAAAATAAAATAATTGAAATTTTTTTCGGATAAAAATAGTGTGATACGAATATGGGGAGAATTTCATCTCAAAAGTTAGCTCAAGAGATAGAAAAATTCAAAGTCTATATTAATTCTACATTAGTCACTTATATAATTAACGTGGGACAATTATAATTGGTAGATATAGTAAAAGACTCTGATATCAATTGATACTAACTTTAGAACAATCTCATCCAAAAAAACTAATTCAAAAGGTAACAAAGTCCAAAATTTATATAAACTGCACCTTAGGATAGTAACATAGTATTTAACCGTAATAAAAAAATGATTTGATGTTTGTTATTTTAAATGACATAAGTTATATCATTTTAGGAGAGAGATAGACACAAAAAATAAAAATTATGAAAAAAAATGGGTAGATTTTTTTAATTTAAATTTTAAATATAAAAAATTAAAATGACATAATTTTCCTTAAAAAATATTGCAACATGAACATGCCCCCAATTTAAACTACGTTGTTGGGCCCCTTGAGGCTTGAGCCTTATTAGAATTTCACGTGGCTATGAGCATATTAGCATATTCCATCGTAATATTTGCTTTTAATTTGAGTTTTCTTGCGAATCGAAGGTATATTATTGGGCATAACATTGATTCTCTGCGACTCTCTCTCTCTCCCTCTCCCTCTCCCTTTCTTTGTGTTGTGCTTGTGTGTGCCTTTGTAGCTTTTTTTTCAAGTTCCCAAAGCCAAAATGACCCTGATCAACAGTCTCATAAACCAAACCAAGTTCCCGGTACGTTTTCTCTCTGTCTTGGATGAATAAAACCTTGCAAAAATGTTATGTATTAGAATATAAATAAATAAAATATTATTTATATTCTAATATTATGCACATTCCAAGTTATTTCACTACGACGCAGATTCTTATTATGCATGGTACGATGTGAAAACCCTATTATTTTCTTCTAAGGGGGCGTTTGGTACAAGAGAAATTTTTTTTTGTCCGGGAATCTCAATTTTCAAAAATATGATTTTTACATCCAGATTACGATAATATCTGAAAATTTAAAATTTACAAAAAATTATTTTTCCGGGAATCCTAAGATAAACCATGTACCAAATGGCCCCTAAAGTTGTTCTAATTAGAAAAGTGAGAATAGCATTTACACTTGAATGGGTAGTTTTACGATTTATTACTATTTTGCCATCTATTTTCGGTTCATAAAATGGTGTAAGTTTAGGAGAACGAGAGGCTAGGGCATGCCATTAAGTGAAAATAACATTTATTCTATTTCCCCCGTTTTATTTGTTGAGAGTCTATTTTCCCCTTTTATTCATGTGTTTAATTCTTTGTTACTGTGGATAAGGTGTGGTCTTTTCATCATCTCACATATAGCCTTAGTTCTTCTGCGTTTTAGCCTTTAATTTGTGTTTTTCCTTCCATCTTTGATTTCTTTATAATATGTCAAGTTCAATGGTTATGACCTGATTGTTAAGCAAATTCATTGTTTGCATATGTTTTAATTTTGTCTCCATAAAATTGTCTTGCACCTGACAATTGCTTTCTTGTCTTAAATTTGTGAGACTTAGCCTCATTTCTTATCTTGATATACCCAATTGTTTATTTTAAACATTAGATACGTTACTTCCTGGTTTATTGGTTTGACTGTGCTTAAGTAGGCATTTGGTAGTGGAGATATTTTTTTTACCAGTTAAATGCAATTACCGGTAATATGTTAAGAAAGTGAATTTGATAAGAAAGTTAAAAAAAAAACTGTTTGGTTGGCCAAATCTTTACCAGAAAAATTGAGTTAAATATTGGGAATCTTTGTTTGGTTGAGGGTGAAATAATGATGGGTAAATGTGTTGAAATACCAAAAATAATCCCTAATTTAACCCAGCGATGTAGACATGTGTACTTGACCGAGGGTAATATGGTAACGCGTTCGTTCACCTTTTTGGGGTTGCCCAACCTTTTTTAGGAATACCACACTCGAATTGGTTAAATTCTACCGTTATTTTCCTTTCTTTTTGCACATGCTTGTCAAAGGACGGGGAAAAAAGAAACATGGCACAATTTTTGGATTCTGTCTACCAAACAAAGGAATCGTTGAATGTCAATTACATTTGGATGGGGAACCAAATCAAAAGCTTGAACCAAACACACCCTAAGTGAAATAGTTGATATATATATATATATATATATATATATATATATATATTATCATAAAATTATAAATAATTTAGTTAAAATTTTATATAACATAAAAAATCATATTATATATCATATAAAGTAAAAAAATTAACAATAAAAAACCAAGCTTTGATATCATGTAATACAACTGATTCAACTAAACAATTTAAGCTTGCAAGTGATAACTATGTCGATGGTTTCATATTAATATCTCTTACATTAGATAAACAATTAATTTTTCACCACCATTTTTTACTAATTCTAAATTGATTCTTTGGTCATTCCGTTTTTGAATTATACTGATTGGTGAGCTAACTTGTTTACTGGTAGTCTGGTGTGATATTTGAAACAATGTTAACTATCGATAGTTTCTTACTGAGATATATTGTTGCAAGAATGATATATTGTTAGTCTAAATTTATGAATGTTTTGAATTATGAGACAGGCAATAGACATGCATTAAGCTGATTCTTATTAATATTTCTAATAGCGGGTTTAATTATATTTTATTATTTCATCTGCACATTAGACATGCATGCGGAATCATGTTACATTTTTTTTTTCTTATAATTTGGTTTTGAATCTTTTGATATTTTTTCCTTTATAAATATTTATGGATGTATGTTAATAAGAGATTTCCCCAGCACTGTTTGCCCAGATTTTTAAAAGAATAAAGAGAATATATATTATTATGAGGTCATAACATACATTGTGTGGTATGGAGCAAAATTTCCAGAGTTGCGATCTGATAATATTTAACATTATAGTGTACAAAAGGGAAGTGGATGATCTATCCTCTTCTGTCTCTCTCCTTGGCTTTATTGGCTATACAAAGCATATGGAATTCATCTTGTCAATAAAGGGATATGTTAGGGTCATGCCTCATAGCACAAATCAAGGGCAGGGGAGGGATCCTCTCTTGTGCTTTTTGGCTGTTTGAGAGAAATCCTCTTTCCAACCTGAAAAAAGAAAAAAGAAAAAAGAAAAAAGGGGCAACATTGCAGCATACGTGAGCCTCATCTTGATGAACACGTGCTTGATCTCTCACGTTGAGGGTTTACCAAATTATATATTACGGCCTGCAATGAGAGGGAGTTTAGGATTACCAGCTCAGCAAATCTTTAGAAATTAGAAAATTTTAAAAAAGAAAAAAGTAATCAAATCAATGATTATTATGCAGAAAATATAATCATAGTTACCTATTAAAAAGAATGGTTATTGACTTTCAATATATGAGGGGGAATTTGCAACTGGAACTGGTTTTAAGCTTCTTAGAAGCTTTCTTCCAGATTCAAATGCTAAAACAAGGAGACCAAAAAAGAATAATAGGCAGAGATGCAGTTTTTGTAATAAGCACATCTTAAAGGAGACATTGCTTCCACCCTGAATGTTTGTTCTGACAAAGAACACCCTTTTCTCGTTCCACCCTGCACAAGATCAGTATATAGTAGATCATATCAGAAAAAAAGTGTGCACATAAGCAAAACTAGTAACTGTCTTCGAATGACACATCTTTATTCTACTACCATCCAGATAAGTTATTGTAATTTCAGCCCCCTAAGCCAAGATTCATTAAAACATATTGCAGCTTGGTTGGTTAACGGTTTATATTTCAAATTGGGATTCATGTGATAACAGGATGTCGTAATTTTGGCTCAAAGCATAGGACTGGATTTATTAGAACATGCTGCAGTTAGAATTAATCTATACATTATCTTTCAAATAAGGATGCATGTGATATCAGGCCATATATGTTTCACCTCCCTGGGAGCCAGTGACAGACCAAGAAATTTTGGGTAGTGGCCTGGTAGGGGCAAACCTTTTGGTTAACCTGCTCGGTAACTTTTTTTTTGTTTTTCAAGTTGGGATAGCTGTTGTAATTTTTCATGTCAAGAAATGATAATGTGACTATCATTTATCCTTTGGTGTGAACGAGAGCTAGTTCATCTTATAGGAATTCACCTGTAAATCCATCTGGGACCGGGTATGAACTGATGAAACATGACTCTGTGCTCTGTCTGTGGATACTTGGGCCGTTGGGTTGGGGTGCTAATTAAATCATCTAACCAAGCAGGAAACCAATTAACAGTTTAACACTCCGTGGATGATATTGGGTTTGGCTACTGAGAAGAGAGTAATTGGGAGAAGTCAGAAAGAGAGGAAATGGCTGGGGTTCGTTAAAATTATAAATTACCTAATCAAACTTGAATTTTCGGGGCTCCTTAGGTTGTGGGTACAAAAACGGTATATCATGCATAGTGGTAGATATTTTTTGAGTGGGGACATGTGCCCTGACCCATCAACGTGGGTCTGTCTCTGCTTGGAGCTTAGACATTACTACCGCACGTTGACAACCCACCACGCTACAGAAAACGGTCATGACATGTGTAATGTGTGAGCTCATGCTGAATTGCGAAGTGCAAGAAAAAAAAAATTTGTTCGATGGGGGAATACTTACAAGACTCTTGCTTTGGCAAATTAGTCCAATCATGTGGGTTCATCTTCACTAATGATGCCTTGATCAAGTCAAACAGTGCTTGATTAACCTGAATTTTGAAATGTTTTAAACACATTTTCAATGAATCTTGAGAGGCAAAGAACAAGCAATTTTCGCAGCCAGTATGCTATAACCCAATTTTCTAGCCATAAATTACATAATTTACAGGAAAAAAACCTTGGCGCAACAGATGATGTTATCGCCAAGTCACTTTGGTTCATGTAATTAATGTTTTGCAAAGATCATGTAAGGCTGCTTCTATAGACCCTTGTAATGAGTCTAACCTTCCCCTGCACAACATATGCATAGCTACCAAATGGTGATAGCTTAGTTGACACATGAGAGTTGAGTAGGTGAAGGTGAAAGTATGTATTTGATCCTCCCTAGTTCATCTTTGGAAGGGGTTTAAAGTTTTATTTCTAGATCCGTCCCAAATCGAACTAATCTCGAAACGATGAACCGATTGGAATATTTCCAAAAAAAAAACATATGCATAGGTGGAGTTTTATCCCGTTTTTGTATTACATATTTTATACTAAATTATACCTCTTCAGGCCGCTCATGACTCACTAGATGACCTCCATGAAGATCTACCATTCTAGCCATTGGTTGAAGCCTCTCAGCAAGTCTTTTTGCATGATATATCTGAGCAATTATATCATACCTGAATGTGCCAGAAAAGTGTAATCAATCTCAAGTTAAAACTATAAAATAGATAAATTGTTTGTCTGTGTGCAGTGTTGTCATGCATAAGTTGGCTTCTGTGCGTGAATGATCTGTGTGGTTGACCGGGTGTCAAGTTTCATTTATATTTTGAAACTGACGTTTCTAATAGCCATTGTTACATAAATGTATCCAAACACAGTACAAACCTTCCATGTATGACTGAAACAAGAAAACCTGCAGATTTGATCGCCTCGATCTCTGTTTGAGTCATTTTATGTGTCCAACATGCATTGAGTTGACCATTAAAACCATAGTCAGGTTGCATTCCAGTTGTTGATATACCTTTAACATATTGCTGAAAGAGACAATGACATTGAATTAGGAAAACTCTAAGGAGAAAAATTTCACATACTGATCAAGAACAGCATGATTATTAGTATTGATTGGTAATCCTGTAAATGTGTTTGGCAGTTGAAAGAGAAGGAAATAACTAAATGGTCACATTGTTTCCCTTTGTTTGGATGTTCAAAATGAAAAAAGGCAAGGGAATGGAGGGTTAAATAATGAAAGTCAATGATTCTTTATTTTTCATATTTGTAAAGCTAACTTTTATTAATGGATTACAATCTTAAAATTATAGGTTTAAATGTTTTTGGTCCCTATAAATGTTGCTTCTTGGTATTGGTACCTCTTTAATTTGAGTTTAGCTTCGGGTTTCTTATTTTTTAAATGGGTCAAATTTTGATCCTTACTCTTAACATGTATCTATTAAGTGTAGGTGTAGTGTAGCAAACGGAGTGCCACTTTATCAATGTCGTGTAAGGAATTGCTTGTGTCATAATTAGTAAATTTATCTCATATATTATTTAATTTTTGGTCTAGCTGCATCCGGCAAAACTCCTCCTCCTTGCTATACGCATTACACTACGCCACTCTAGCAATGTTCAGCAGCCCCAAGGTCACTCTCCCTGAAGGACTAGAAGTTACCGTCACACCTTAACTCCCTCAACACAAGAAGCATAATAGAAGCATCAAGGCTTCCTTGCTTTAAACCCAGTAACCACAAACATGAATATTACTATTACCTTTATCCCAAAATAATTGTTTACATAATTGATGAACTCATAATTGAGAAAGTTGAATGTTGTGGACTTTTGGAGGGTTAACTGAAAAACCACCATTCTCCTTTCCTTCCCACAAGAATCTCCCAAATGTCCAAGCACATACCTTTATACTACAAAAATAATCATGAGACTTGACACATTCCTATTGTTCAACTTGGAAATTCTCAGTTAATCATAGTTTGCAATGAAAAACATGTTTTAAAATGTTGAATTTTGATACTTCTAGTACATGCATATATTTTTGTACATAGGTAATCATGGCAGTATACGCCTTTTGGATAATTTAATTACTGGGAGGTAGCTGCAACTACCTGCATAAGTTTCGCTTTTCTCCATAAATATTTCTGGTACACTGCATTTTTTTTTAGTACATTACATTTTGACTAAAGAAACAAACACACAGCACAAAACTAATAAACTGCAAGCACAATTAACATCTGCTTAAGTTAACTAAGATTAAGCTTATTTAATATATCATACCTGATACAAGATCGTTCTCCTTTTATCAGTTCCAACATATTCTTCAAGATATTCCTGCATGTCATACATAAATCTTATCTTTAATATTCATCCTAAGGACCGCATGAACATAGATTTCTAGGCTGTTAATAAATGTAGATCAGTGTTGTTACAATACAAGGAGAAGAAGACAATCTTCACAACTCTTTGGACTTGATTTGAGTACAGATAGTGTGAATCGAAATTTTAAATTCCCACTTCTCTTATAGTTGGGGCTCTATATAATTTGTGGAAAGGAGGGTGTGAAACAGCTGGGGAGAAAGGTTAGGGTGACAACTTGTTATTTCTTAACAGGAAATAATAAACAAAACCAAAAACATGTTTTACTTGTGAGTAGTGGGTGTCCAAGTCAACATCAGCCCTTTCTTCAGGAGTCTTCGCTCTCAAAAACCGATAAGCAACAGAGAATGTTTGTCTGTCAAACTGCAAAAAGTAGAACAAGTGAACCACCTTATGAGGGTACTGTGTCTAAGTTCTGTTCATCAACATCAATATCATTCATGGTCGTTGACCTTAAATTCCGAATCAGCGCAAAGGCCTCATATAATTTATAGGCAACCATGGACAAAACAGATCATAATTCCAACATTATATGTCTAAGTGCACATACATTCCCATTTAGTTATATTAAATATATTAAGCATTCAAACAACTACAATATTGTACATTTGGAATATTTGATGGCTAATATCAAATGGTTGCATTGAGTCCAAGAATCACAATTTCTTTTTCCTAATGCTAAGGCATCCTTTTTTCTTTTTTCCAGTGTCATGGTCAGTGAAATTAATTATAGTTCACCAACACTTTTCTTTCAATTGTTATAGATGACGACTTCAGATAAACAGTAGATATTTTGCATACAATCAACAATTGCTTCAACCAGAGATAAGGAGAAATTTCCCTATATGGAGGTACTAACATCCAGAAATTAACCCAACCAACCAAGTTGTCTGATGTGGCAGTTTAATGTAAAAATATACCACCAGTTTTTCTTCCAAAATATGATAACGACAGATGATCAAAAGCTTTAGTAGGGTCCAATTTTGGGTGCAGCGTACTCAAAATAGGAAAAGTTTTGAGACTTAGATGGAAATATAAGTTAAAAGCTGGATTTAAAAGGGATGAAATTTTCCACGTTTAGAAAAAAGATGGTACATGCGTTGTACCCAAGAAATTTTCCTTTAGTAGGTGCAACTCTTTTATCCACATCTAGACATGTGAAGATGATAGATGACATAAAATCATGTAATAAAAAAAATGCTTTTGTAAGTTTGGTAAAATCATCAGGTTCTTGAGTGATGCTATGCTTTTTAACCCTGTAACGATGCAAATTATATAGCAATGCACTACAATATTCAAAAGCTGCATTGTTGCGTTAGGCTCCAAACTGTTTAATTTAAACAATTTGGCATCGAATATCTATAGCAACAAACAATTTCTTTCCAATGTACCACAAGTCTAAAAATGAAAACATACATGATTAAGATATAACAGCCATCCAAATGTCGGACAATATTATGGCACCAATTCCTGTAAATAGGTGGAGCTAGTTGACCTTAATTTGTAGGGATTTTCTCAGTCATATTTTTAGTGTTTCTTAAGAATCTTGATGGTAACACTATAATTGAAAAACCAAAAAACGAAGGAAAAATCTGGGTACAGTTTAGATCATGTGTAAATGCACTCTTTACTTATTCAAAACCCACTGTATAATAGAAAGAGAATTTCTCAACTACATTTCTGCTAAAGGAACCACCTAACTGTGCTGTAAAATGAACCAAAAATATAGAGTATTAAGAAATTGTTATGCAAGTTAACGCATCCTAAACAGGGTTGATAATTAGAAGTGTGTGTACATGAATTTATGAAACCAGTCCCCCTTGCATCACTCCTTCATAGGGATGGAAAGGGCCAGGGACAGAGTTAGCAAAGTGTTGTTATAAATCAGAAGTATATTACAGAAGCATCATCTGCATAGTGCAGTAAAAACGCATCAGAACATTTTGTATTAGTGCCGAAAGATAGACAATACCTTTGGAAAACATTGAAAACCTCCACCCGTTACATTGAGCAACGCCAAGGAGAGGACTCTATCAGGAACCATTGCTGCTAGTTTACAAGATATCATAGCCCCTGTTTTGATAGGTAAAGGTAATTAAATTAAATAAATAAACCTAATCTAAATCAATTTCAGTTATATAAAGTAATTTATCTGTTCTACCAAAAAAAAAAAAAAAACGACAACCAAATCTATTAGAAATTATAATGCTGTTCGGAGCAGCATATTTATAGGTCATCCTGAAGTGGGTTTTAGTTGAAATACTCGAAACATCCCTAAAACAGAAACCTGAATTTCTTAAAAAATGTAAAATCGATTGCGCAGATTAATGCAAAAACCTACTCAAGAAATCCGAAATGAAATTCAGGATAAAAGAATCAGTACTCACCCATGGAGTGCCCAAAAACATGGGCTTTTTTCCAACCTAAATGATCTAACAAAGCAATTGCATCCTTTGCCATGATCGTGGTTCTGCAGCCAACAATCACCAATCATCATAAGTTAAAAATCATTCATATCATTCAGCAAATAAAATTCCCATCCCATTTTTTTTTTATTTTTTTGAAAAATCGTTCATAATTAAGTAAGACGTAGCAGAATATCACAAAACGCCGGCGTTTTATTACAGAAGAATTTGCCAAGCGATGAAACCCGGAACTCACGAGTATTCGGTTTTATTGAAGGGCATGGAGCTCCGACCCACGCCCCGATTATCAAACGCGCACACCTCGATACCACCACCGGCCTCATTGTCATCTCCGCTGCTCCAAACGACGTCGTCGTCATTGGGGATAGAGGTTCCGGTCAAGCCTTTTATTTGTGGGCCCCACGCGTCGTGCGTCGCAGCCAATCCTGACCGTTTGATCTCCACAAAATCAGCAAAAATTTCGGAAGTAAAAGAAATAAATGGAAAAATTAATAAAACAAACGGAACATGATGATTGAGAAGAAGGACCTATGATGAGGAGCACTTTGGTAGGACCGTGACCGTAAGTTCTATAAAATATCTTAAGGTCATTGTTAAGGTGTGCGTCGGCGGGGGCGACGGCGGCGGCTGCGATGGTGGGGGAAGATTGCTGCCCTCCGACGTCGCAATACGGCATCGTTTCAGCGGCGCGAGGGGGAGCAAAAGGGGAATTGAATTCAAAGGAAAGGAGAAAAGAGAAGAGAAGAGAAGAGAAGAAGAGGGAGAGAATTTTGAGAGTGTGGGCTGTTATTATAGAAAGAAAGAAAAGGGAGAGAGAGGATGGAGAAGTTTGGCGGGAACACGTGGCGGATAGGAAGTGGCTAATGCCACGTAGGATGGTCGGTTCTGTTAGGCTGAGTCTGAACGCGGTGTCAAAGTCAAAATGCCAACTCCAAAATTGAAATCAAAAGGAGCTGAAACGGTGGCGTTCATGCCAATGGTCCAAAAAACGTGCTTCTCTCTCTCGAGTGGTTATTTTTGGTTTTACAGATATTCTTTCAGATGATTATTGTATGAACTAGAAGTGTTTACTTTACTGAATTGTGAGAAGAAAAATGTTACTTTTTGAAGAATTCTTATGGGCCCTTCCTTCGGTTGTTCGTGGGGTTCTCTTTTTTCGTTGCTATTTTTAAAAAACATGTCAAAGTTGAACGTGAAAGTTGGTAGATTTTCAAAGCTGACTTCTGACTCTTCTAATTTTTTTTTTTTTTTTTTTTGGAGAAACATTCTAATTCTTTCGCAGACAACAAAAGCGGCACTTTCGCTTTTGGGCAATGATGTGTGTGTCACTAACTGCGGAAACTCGAGAGTGAAAAACAGTGAAGTTTGTTTTTCACTTATATTTACCATCTTTTTTATCTTATAATCTCTTATAATTATTTTTTATGATTATGGAATCAAAATTAAATCAATAATTACAAATTAAAAATAAATAAGAGTTGTTGATTTGATTTTAATCTAATAATTACAAAAATGATTGTAATAAATTATAAGAAAAAATATTATAAGTATAATCTCTCCTTTTTTATTTATATTAAGGCATTTATTACTTCCGTGTAAGAAAATTTTTCTCTAACAACTAAATATAATATTATTTTTTATATTTATCTCTTTTTTTATTTGGTTAAAATATTAAGTTTGGTTATGGCAGGAGATAATTTCTAACATGAGAGTAATAAAATCCTTATATTACATATTAAGGCTTTTGAATCACAATCCATATCATATATCGTTAGGCCGATTTTTTGGTATCGTGTATTGTAAATCGTATCGAATCATAAGATACAGAAATATAATAAAAAACAATTTAAAAATATATAATATACTTAATATCATATAAATTCAAATTTCAAAAAGGAACCAATCAACAAATTACATAAGTAACTGAAGTGCAAACTAGTTATTCTCTTACCCATTAATCATCAAAATTAATATTATCACTACTTTCACTATTAGCATCTATCGTGACATAATTAATTCATCACTCTCTTCATTAGTATAGTCATTTGACTCATCTCTCATTTGTTGTTCAACAATCTGAGATCTTTTTCCCTTATCATTCTTGTTGGCCATATCATTTTGTTTATCAAGCCAGTTGACATTATCTTGTCGGCTTTAAGATTTTAAGGACCTAAAAAATAAAAATATACATAACAAAATATATATTTAATTAATTATTTTCTTTATTAATACAAATTTTTCAGTTTGATTTTGAATTTAAATTACAAATCAAATCTTTATTTTCCTTTACTCATTAATAATAACTTTTGTAGATTTTTTTTAATTCAAATCACAAATCAAATCTTTATTTCTTGTTTTAATATTAAAAATTAAAGTTTTGATATATTTTCGTATCGTGTGATTAGGGGTGGCAAAATGGGCTGCCCGCCCGACCCAACCCTAGCCCGCCAAAAAGTGGGCTAGAAAACTCAGCCCACCCCGCTCCGTTTGGGCGGGCGAGATGGGCTGCTCGTCAAACTTGTGATATTTTACACTAAAATTAAAAAAATCAACCCGGGTTGGCTTGGCGGGCAGCGGGCTTGAAAAACTCCGCTGGCGCGGGGGCGGGCGGGGCTCGGCCACCCGTTTTGCCACCTCTACGTGTGATACACGATACAATTTCGTATCATATGATACAGTTTTGTATCATCCGATATAATTCCTTTTCTGATACACCCCTCGATACGTATAACTGAGCTTGTGAATCGTATCATATCGTGTATCGTAAGATATTGATAATTATGTTACAAATTACGTGTTTACGTATGAAATTCCTCCACTTTAATGTTTTAGTTTTAGTTTTTTAGCAGTGTTATTATTAAGTGCTTTTAAAAAAATATTAGAATTATAAGTATTTTAACATTCTATATGTTTAAAATACTTATCAACTTCTCGTTATATAATATAATCTACCGCAAATAATATAAATTATTATTCAACTTTTTGCCTCAAACAAAATTTAGATGCCAAATTCAAAATAACCCTTTTATCAACTGCATACTCAAAAGCACCCACACGTTAAAATTTTCAGAATGTGCGTGTTGCACACGTGTTCGACACGCACACGCGTCTGACTCGCTCCGACACGTTTTTTCGACATGCAGTCAACTTTTTCCGACACGTGGTCAACGTTCGGACACGTTCGAATACGTTTTTTTTTTATTCTTAATTTTATTTTATTAACTAAAAATAAAAAAAAATCATTTATAAATCAATTTTTTTCTGTTATGAAATTTGACATAAAAAATTAACAAGGTACGAAAAATTATTTTTGTTTATATTTATGTTATGAAATTTGAATATTTGATTGGTTATATGACTTATTATGGACTGTTATATCTATTAAATATAAATTATATTATATATATTAAAAATATTATTTAATATCAAAACGTGTCCCAACGTGTCGAAATATGCCATTTTTTAGAATTAACGTGTTGGCGTGTCGTGTCGTATCCCGTGTCCTGTGTCAGTATCCGTGCATCATAGATTGCATAGATATATAATATGTAATAAAAAATGAATTGCAAAAATATTGTTGTTTCGAACTTAATTATGGATTAATTACACTCATTCACTCTTCTTTTGGGCTAAACAATTCATGCCAAAGTGAGGCGTGTTTCCTTAAGCATTCACGCTTGAACAAGGCATGACCATTCACGCGCAAGCAAGGCGTGAGTGGCTCTATTTCTTTTTTTCCTTCTCTCTAAGATTTTGCTCTTATTTCTCTCTAAATTTCTCCTTGAGTTTTTTGCACAGCAAAGCTTTGTCAATCAAGTAAGTTTTATTATCTAGTTTTTCTATTTTTAAAATACAACAATAGATATGTTATACTAGTGACATAGGAATATGGTAGTGACTTAGGAAATTGTTAAGAGTCTTATAAATTTGCCAGTGAATTATACAATTGTTAGTGACTTAGGAATTTGTTTGTGGCTTAGGATATTGTTAATGACTTAGCAAGATGTGAGTGATCTATGAAATTATCACTGACCTAAGAATTTGTTTGTGAGTTAGGAAATTTTTAGTGACTTAGGTTATGATTAATGACTTAGGACAATTATAGGATGATATAATATTTGCATACATAATTTTAACACAAAATTGTACCTGTAATTTAATATATTTTTTAAATCTTGTATTATTTGAAAATGAAATTAATTATAACAATCAATTTTTAATTTTGTATAGTGCATTATTATGGCTGACTCGTCATCATCCTAGTCTCCTCGGTCTACATCTGATCACGTTCCTCATAATTGTCCGAAGCACTAGTATCTTGACAAGAAGACGATCTTCCATTGCGATATTTTCATCATCGTTATCATCATCATCGTCATCCATAACCCAGGTAGGGTCATTTTCATCTTTCACAAACAAATTAACAACTGGAGCAGTAGATGATGATGCATAATATGAAGAATTTAAAGCATCTGACCTCATGGGTAAAACAACATCTGCTCTGGCAATATCCACGTACAATTCTAAGAAATCTTTCTTTGACTGGTTGAAGAATTCTCCCATTACCATATCTATGTCTTCATCATTCATAACTTTCATACTGATGTATTGTGATTCACACCATATTCTTGTCGTGACCAGAGTCATAGATTGCTTATCTTCGAGAACTAATTTTTGACAAATTTTTTGATGCAGTTCGCTAACTGTTGAGTTGCGTTTGATGCATGTTAGCCTTTTCTCGCCTTCAAAAACTACATCACGACGACTTTCTACTTTCCTACTATTATTATATAAGAACAACACCAACAGAATCAGAATGTGAACTCATTCTTAGATAAATAAACAAAAAACGCAAAATAGAGTATGAATAAGCAAGTGAGGTTGTATGAAAGAGTAAGAGTTTATGATGGAAAAGAGTTACGAAGAATGTGGAGATGAAATGAGTTTAAATAGGGAAGAGGTAGGTTAATCGTGCCCAAAGTAGGCTGGTTAGTGTTCTGGGTCGCGCCCAGAAAAGTCTAGTTAGCCCGTGAGTGGTCACGTCTTGTTCCGGCGTGAATTCCTAGAGGAACATGCCTAACTTTGACGTGAATTGTCTAGTCCAAATTGGGCATGAATGAGTACAATAGATCCGTAATTAGGTTTAAAACAGTAATATTTTAAAAAAATTTGCCTCAAAACACTAATTGAACAATAATAGTATTTTAAAAAAGAAATAAATACCAAAAAGCTGAACTCATAATAATAATAGTATTATTATTATGGGGCAATCGACTCTCCTCCGTCAGGAGACATTTTTCCTCTTACATTAGACACAATATATAATAGGCTCACCATTATTAAAAATAAATAAATAACGGATTTCAATGGGTTAACAACAGACAAAACAATTCTCCACGGGAGAGTTGTTTTTCCCTATTATTATTATTATAGGGTTTGATTTTTTTCATGTTGCATGAGATAATTTGTCTTATACAACACACACAAAAATGAATGGGACACACTAAAAAGAAGAGAAAAAAAATACGTCTCATTCACTTTTGTGTGTTTTGCCTGAGATAAATTATTTCATGTAACATGAGAAACACATTTTCCATTATTATAACAGTAGAAACCAACGGTCGATTGTACTAAAATCCACAAGAGATGGATAAACTATGTTTGCTCAAATAATAATAAAAAAATTATTTTTTATATGTCGAACTTGTTTATCAAATGACAAGGATCTTTGACTCCTGTGTAATTTCTATCTTAGTTTTTAACTTTCGTCCATCTATTATTATAATTTATTTGAAATTAATTTTAATTAATAAGTAAAGCTCAATAAACTACTATACTTAGATGAAAGGAAATTAATGGCAAAGAAATATTTATTAATTTTACACTGCAGTCAAAACATTTTTTTTTTTTATAATAAAACATTTTTTCTCTTACTAAAAAGTTTGAAAAAAAAAGTCAAAATAAATTTATTAAACTCCACAAAAAATCCTGTTTAAGCAAAGCGAAGATTCTTCCATGCAAAAAAGAAAAAAGAAAAAAATCAGAAAACGCAGAAACAGTTCACTACAGCTCATATCACTATCCGCAAATAGGTCTTATCTTGTTTCTGTGTTTTTTGTTTTTTGTATTGAATTACAGATCCTTTTGAGTGGAAGCAAAATAAAAAAGATAGATTTCGATCAAGCCGAATCCAAATTCCAGAATCAACCAGCAGTTTCTGGCGGTTTGTTTGGAATGTGAGCACCTTTCGATCCATTTGCTCAATCAGTGTTTGGTGTATATATATACATATGTGTGGTTGAAAATGGCTTGAGATAAGAAAAAGTGGCTTACGTTGTTTCCTACTGGAATATATTTGACTAAATTTTGGACCAACGAACGTGGCAAGTAATACAACATCCACTTGTGCTTGTCATTAAGATTTTTGTTTTTTTCTAATTTATTATTTTGCTCCACTGATTTTACCATTTAACGCTGTTTGACAATTATTTGGTTCTGGAAATGTTTTTGTCCAGTCTAGATATGACTACGTCTACAGCATTTGTCTCTATCTTGAGGACTTTTTCCTCTTTTTTCCATAAACAAAATACTTTTCAACTAGCATGTTAGCACCAAAATTGGTTGTTTATTAGAGAAGTTGTCTGTCCCAAATATAGCTTCCCCAGTCTTCGGGTGGAACCAATAGTTTGTAATTATTTTATTAAAATGGCAAAGTTGAGCTCTAGAAGCAGAAAAGGAGGAAAATATGAAATTAAGTGGCATTGGTCCTCAGCAATTTCTTTACATTTTAGGTACCAACAAATATGAAAATAAATTTATTTCGTAGGGGTAGGGTGTGGAAATTTTTTACCCATTAAATATAGGCACAATAGGGGTGATAAACGAGCTAGGGGCCTTTGGCTCGACTCGTGAAAGCTCAGGCTTACATGCCTAATATTGGTTGTTGGAACCAGGTTTGGACTTGTATAAAAGCTCATTTAGTAAAAAAGTCTCAGGCTCCAATTCAAAAGCTCGGCCTTAGAGCCTCTCAGGCTGGCCTAGTATATTAATTTTTATTTTTATTTATATTTTTTATATTATTTGTAATAGCCCTCTCTCTCTTCTCAATCCATTTCACCCCTATTTTATTAGTTAAACAAATTTTTTGAATGATTTTGTTCTAAATTATGTTGTTTCGGTATACATTGAATTTATGAATATTTATGGAATTACTAGTGTTGTTGATTGTATATTCTGTTTGGATAAATTTATATTGTCTTATTTTTTCTAACAAGCTAATAGGCCAAATCAAGCTTTTATTTTTTGTAAATAAGGCAGGCCACATGCCGATAATCATATTCGTAACAGGCTTAGTAAAGCTGACACATTTAATCACAGACTTAGCTTCTTAAGACCAAAGCTCGGCTCGGCTCGGCCCGTTAACACCCCTAGGCACAAACATGAATTATCATCCATACTTTACTCTAGTAAAATTTATTAAATAATATTATAAATAATCCATTGGCATGTATGATTATACAATCGACCTGACATGTTTTTTTGTTTACTACATTGAGTATATTACTCTACATAAGAATTTCTGCAATTACCAACACAGATGGAATGCTTTGAAAAATTGGGAAAGCATACCCATGTGTTAGCTTTTTATACACGGCTCATACAATTGATTGAACTATCCCATGTTTATATTTCGCTGTACATATAATCTCAAATTCTATTAACTAGAGGAAATCTGGTGCTTTGAAAGTTGCGCTTGCCGACGACCCAAAGAGAATGCTGTGACGATCCACAACAAACAAACCTGGTTTAGAGCAATGAAGAGGTTCATAGAATTAGTCTTGCCATAAAAAGTATAAAATAAGAAAAAAAAAATTACTACTAATGTCAAGCAGCATTCATATAGTGGTGAAAGCCATAGTAATAAGGAAGGAATAAAGATAGCTATTTGTTTGAGCCAATAACTACACGTGTTCAGGATATGGTAATAATCAGTGTTTCTTTTTACTTTTTAAGTTCTTGTTAACCAAAACTGGAGAGTATTATTTGAGAGAGGAAGACGGACATAAAGATAAGTTCACACATACAGGAAGGCCATAAAGGGAAACGGTTGATGGCTTCCCATTGAGGGTACCAAAAAGCATTTTGTACATTCCAGCTGCTGCAGCATCTCCAAATCTTTGAACCAACACATCTATGCATATCTGCTCAGCATCGAATTGTTAGTTCATTTCATGTACTTAATAAGAAATACCCAAGAAATATACAATGACTGTAATGTTATTTCAGTGAAGCCATTGATAGGCTCAAAATGAAAATGTGGGATATGTCTATGTCTATGTGCTTCTACAAGCCTAGGACACTACCCACAACAACTACTTTTTATCACCCTCGGGAGGGAAAGGAAGAAGAAAGAAAAGAGAAGATTGTCATACTTTGGCTTTATACTTCTCATCCTCTGAAACAACAGTAAATAAAAGTTCTCTTCCAGGCCTTGACACAACATACGTAACAACCTGCAAAGTTTTAGAACATGAACATAATACACAAAGTTTGACAATAGTTAATTTAATCAGCAATGTACTGTTTTACACATAAACGTTGGAAACTCGAGTAGCAGGTCCGAGTTATGAATTCCTCCAAATGATGAATGCTAAGCAAGTTGAGAGAGATGGAAAATAGATTGCTTGGTCTATAAAAATGTCTTCACCTATTAGCTTAAGCTTTTAAACAAGTTGATTAGTGACAAGCAATAAATATAAATATACAATTACCTCATTACCATATTTACATCATACAATAAACCAAGACATTTACATAATAATAAATATTTCTTACATGAAACATTGTCAATTATTGAATTCTTCTATTAAAGAAGGAACAAATAAGTCATAGAAGACCACCTTTCTCAGTGTCTCACAAATAGCAACAACCACCCAATCTGGCCAAACAGCTAGAACGACAAAATTTAAGAGGCCAACAAGAGGTGCTGAGCTTATAGCTGTAGTCACCCCAGCAACAGTAAGAATGCGTCCCTGTACTAGACAAAGAAAAATATATGTATAATTTAAAATAGCAATGTGCATCAATAATATTAACATAAAACAATAGAAACTACCACGTTAACCTATTTTATTATATTGTTGATAACATCACTTGTTGGAAATTGTTACTTTAATAATGTAGCAATCAAATAATAAGGTACAGGGACGCATTATTCTCCACACACTCTTCTCAGTGTTGCTGTCGTCCTGTATTTCCAGAGGCTGCCCTTGTTCTAATATATGGTGATTCATCTTTTGCTATAGCGCACTCACCTACTTCGGGCCTGCTTAAGTCTCCCACAAACTTACCCATTATTGTTTGGAAAGGTACACATTCTACCAGTAATCCTCATCCCCATATAACTTTTTGATCTACCATTGTTAGTCATCATCCAGTTATACGTTTCCTTATGCCTCCTTGTCTTATTCTATTCCTAAATCTGTCCTGGAAGCACTTTCCCATCTAGGTCTGCAACATGTTATGCTTAATGAGCTGATAGCCTTGAATTCCAATCATACATGAAACCTTGTTCCACATGACCTTTATAGTTGGTTTATAGTTGGTTGTCAATGGGTGTTTACTATAAAAGTTGGTACTTGGTATCAATGGAAAAGTGGCTTGCTTGAAAGCTCGTCTTCTAATTAAAGGCTTCACTCGGATCTTGGGCCTTGATTATGGTTATACCTTCTCCCCTATTGCAAAAATTGCATCTACTTGGCTTTTTCTTATCTTTGGCCAAAATATCAATGAGACATTATAAATGCTTTCCTCCATGGCGACTTGGAGGAATTGGATTGCATGAAGCAACCTCCTTGTTTTGTTACTAGGGGAGAATTAGGTTTAGCTTGCAGATTACATAAGTTCTTGTATGAATTTAAACAATCCTCTTGGTGTTGTTTTGCCTGGTTCATCAAAGTTATACACCAATTTGATATGGTCCGTGATAGGATCAAACCAATTTAACAGCAAAGAATTAGAACTCAACAAATATTTTTGGGTCCAGAAAGAAATCTTTCCAGGTTTTTTGTATTTATCACTGAATTGAACTCATTACAATGCAAAAAAAAGACTAAGGCTATGAGTCCTATGACCTTAATTACAAACAGAATGACCAAAATAAGGAAAGAAAGTAACCCTGCACTTTCGAGAGGTGCATGCTCTCCTAATTCCAATCCATTTCCAGAATGCTTATTCCTCTCTCCGAGTGCTCTCTTTATTCTTCTAAACTTGACACGTCACGATGCTCTTTTCCTCCTCCTAACCACCTCTAACAAAATGCTCTCCTGCACCACGTCAGCTTTTATGGGTTGATTATTCCTCTAATGCGCTTCCTACCATAAGTCTGTAGCACCTTCGTATCAATACTTCCCCCCAAGACTCTCACCTTGTCCTCAAGGGAAAAATCTGGAAATTGGTGATTGAACTTGGTAGCTTCCTCCCATGAATTTTCAAACTCCGGCAGATTCCTCCATTTAATCAAAACTTCAGTGCTGCCCAAGGAATTTTTTCTATAACTCAGCACTTTTTCTGGTTCAGGATGTAACTCCCAAGTCTCAGTTAACATGGGGGGTAATGGCTGTACGAAGACAGAAGGGGCAATTGCTTTTTTAAGCAAAGAGACATGGAAAACAGGGTGAACTCTACTCCCTTCAGGTAATTCCAACCTATAAGCAGCAGGCCCAATGCGTTCTAGCACTCGAAAAGGGCCATAAAAACGGGGCTCAATTTCTCATTGATCTTTCTTGCTAAAGATCTAAGTCTATACGGTTGTAACTTTAAATAGACCATATCCTGTACTTCAAATTCAACGTCCCTTCTATGCTGATCGGCCTGGCCTTTCATTCTGCTTTGTGCCATTATCAAATGTTGCTGCAAGTCATTAAGGATGATGTCTCTGTCTTGTAAAAATCTGGAAGCTTCATCTACTGGTGAGATAGCAAAATAGGAATGCAGTAAAATCGGTGGTTCACATCCATACAGCACCTTGAACGGTGTAGTGCCCTTAGAATCCTTATAGGATGTGTTATACCAAAATTCCGCCCAATGCAACCAAGACGGCCACGTCTTGGGTTTGGGACCACAAAAGCACCTCAAGTACGTCTCCAAACACCGGTTGACCACTTCGGTTTGCCTGTTGGATTGAGGATGGTAGGCCGTGCTAAACTTCAATTTAGTGCCTATGCACTTAAAAAGTTCAGACCAGAAGGAACTTAGGAATACCCGGTCTCTGTTACTGACAATAGAAGAAGGGAACCCATGAAGACGCACCACTTCCTTGATGAATATTAAGGCTACTTCCCTAGCTGTATACGGGTGAGACAGCGGAATAAAATGAGCAAACTTCGATAAGCGGTCCACTACCACAAAAATCGTATCTCGACCTTGAGCTTTTGGCAACCCCCCCTCCCCCCTACAAAATCAATTGAGATATCCACCCAAACCTGAGTTGGTATTGGTAACGGTTGTAACAGGCCTGCGGGAGAAAGATTTTGGCTCTTATTCTGTTGACAAATCGGACAAGCAGCCACAAACTCCTTAATCTGACTTCTCATTCCCTCCCAGTACACAAGAGCAGCAATCCTCTTATAGGTACGCAAGAAGCCCGAGTGCCCTCCAACACAAGAGTTATGAAATTCATCTAATATCAGAGGAATGAAATGTGAATGGCGTGGGAACACTAACCTGCCTCTGAAAAACAATCGGCCCCCACTCATTGTGAACTCAGAATGGGCACGCGGGTCAGCAAGTAGGTCCAGCATAATAGCGCGCAACTTCGGGTCAGCTTGCAAGTCTTCTTCAAAAATTGGTCTCCCATGCTGGAATGACACTAGACAAGACTGAAAATTGTTCTTGACGAGAAAGGCGCATCGGCAACGACGTTCTCCCGTCCAGGTTGATATTGTATCTCGAAGTCATACCCCAAAAGTTTGGTGACCCACCGCTGTTGATCCTCATCCAATACCCGTTGCTCCATTAGAAATTTTAAGCTCTTCTGATCTGTTTTAATAATAAACCGACGCCCCAATAAATATGGTCGCCACTTCTGCGCCGCAAAGACAATAGCCATAAGCTCTTTCTCGTAGATAGACTTCTCCTGAGCCTGTTTGAAAAATCCTTGGCTAATGAAACTGATTGGGCGGTCGTCTTGCATTAGTGTCGCTCCTACCCCGCGGCCAGAAGCATCCGTGACCACCATAAAAGGTTTATTGAAATCAGGCAAAGCAAGGACCGGAAGAGTAGTCATGGCTGACTTGAGTGTGTCAAACGCTAACTGGGCTTGATCATTCCAAATAAAACCATCCTTCTTTAATAAATCAGTCAAAGGTTTGGCTATCTTCCCATATCCTTGTACAAATTTACTATAATACCCCATGAGACCCAAGAAACCTCGTAAAGACTTAAGGTTCTTTGGAATCAGCCATTGAATCATTGCTTTTACCTTTTTGGGATCAACACAGACACCATGAGGAGAGATCAGGTGGCCCAAATATTCCACCTGTTGCAGAGCAAACGAGCACTTCTTCCGGTTTGCTACCAAACCATTGTTGCGTAAAGCCTCAAACACCAATTGGAGATGTTGTACGTGTTCTGGTCGACTCTTGCTATAGATGAGGATATCATCAAAGAAGACCAAAACAAATTTACGGAGGAAAGGTTTGAAAACTTCATTCATTAAGGAATTGAAAGTGGTCGGAGCATTTGTGAGCCCAAATGGCATCACTACATACTCATAGTGGCCCTCATGTGTGCTGAACGCTGTTTTGGGGATGTCATCTTCTTTCATCCTGATTTGATGATACCCAGACTTGAGGTCTAATTTGGAGAACACTTGAGCTCCCCCTAATTCATCCAGAAGTTCTTCAATCACCGGAATGGGAAAATTGACATGAACAGAGATCTTATTCAAAGAACGGTAATCCACACAAGTCCTCCAGCTACCATCCTTTTTTCGCACCAAAATAATAGGACACGAATAAGGGCTATCACTTGGACATAGTAAACCGGAAACCAGCAACTCAGACACCAATTTTTCAATGATGGCTTTCTGATAATAAGGATACCTGTAAGGGTGTATATTGGGTATTGTACTCTCTGCCTTGAGAGTAATGGAATGATCTTGTCGTCGCCTTGGTGGGAGCCTCTGAGGTTCGTGAAAAATGGCAGCATAGTCACACAATAACACCTCAAGTTCAGGCCACAACCCCTCCGCTTCTGATTTGCGCTCCTGTTGCCAATACTGATCCACCACAAACCCCTGTTGAGCTTCAGATAATGCCTTGACCATAGAACGCAGAGATGTGAGAGTTGTAGTATTAGAAAGCACCGGATCACCCCTCAGAGTAACTTCTTGCCCTGCTACACAGACTTTGAGAGTGAGGTTACCGAAATCAGCTTTCATTTCACCCCAGCTCCGTAGCCAATCAAGGCCCAAAATCACCTCAGCACCCCCCAGTTCGAAGAGGAATAGATCTTGGCAAGATTGGGCTCCCTGTACGTCAATTGTGACGTTCCTACAAACCCCTTGACACTGCACTTTGTACCCATCCCCCACCACCACATTATAAGTGGGGGTGTCCTCCACTGTGAGATGGAGTCGTTCAGCCACCGCGCGTTCCACAAAGTTACGTGAGGCTCCACTATCCACCATCATGACCAGACGGGCACCTTGGTCGACCCCCACAGCTTCATGCTTTGGTTCGAAGAGAGCCCGAGTAAACTAAAAGTGGACATCTGAAAAAGAGCTTCTTCTTCAGCCGGAATCGCAACAGGAACCGCGTCCTCTTGCCTTGTGCCCTTATTGATCTCCTAGTCATCGGCATCTTCAACAAGTAGCAGATGCAACTAAGGAATCTTACAACGATGTTGGAGATTCCATTTGTCCCCACATTTGAAGCACATGTCTTTCTTGGAGCGTTCGTGGAGCTCTGCCTGAGGTAAGTGACGGCTCTTTATTTTAGAGACATGGTTGTTGACACTCATAGGGCCTGGAGTAACCCCCATCATCTGATTAGGGTTCCCAGCTGTCATCCCAGACGTACGCGTGTCCGTCCCAGCGAAATCACGGTCGTCCGCGTGTCACCCACGATGCCAGCAGGCGGTAAGTGAGGCACGTGCCTGGCACCTGAGCTGTGCCAATTATTTCGAGTGGGCTGGTTAACACGAAAGGGCCCATCCCACCTTGTATTGAGGCTTACCCCGTTCAGCCCAAAACCATCCAAAACCCAAGAGTGATTTCGCTTTTCCAACGCGGTTGTCTCCTTCATCAAGTCCCCAAATTCCGGACGTCCTTCTGTAACAGCTCCGTGCGTAACCCCTCATTGAGGCCATGGAGCCAGATTTCGCGTAGCATGTGATCATCCGCGTAATGGAGAGGGCTGATGATGCGTTCGAACTCAACACAAAACGAAGCTATGCTGCTCGTCTGACGAAGGTTCATCAGTTCTTGGTAGGGACCTCCCAACATGGTGGCCGTGAATCTTTCCAAAACCTCAGCTCTAAAATCCCCCCAAGTAGCGTTGGGATGAGTACGATCCCAAACTTGGAACCAATTGAGGGCCACACCATCCAAAATGATCATGACCGCATCAATCTTGTCTGGCTCACCAATTTGATTGACCAAAAAATAGCGTCCCACCTTTGTTAACCAAGAATACACATCGTCACCGCAAAATCGGGGCATGCGAGACGAAGAGGACGTCGGTCCAGCACCGGTATCTCCCTATTATCCCCAAATTCTGATTCCATTGGACTGGGACTCAGTCTCCGAGAACGTCCACGGCGACGACGACCACCTTGAACCGGACTGTCCCTGTTTTGTCAATCTCCCTGTAACAATTGAAGAAGCTCACGATGACGTTCATCAGCAAGCACTTCATTCCTACGGAAACGTTCCTCGATGGCTTCAAAGCGTGCATCCATAGTGCGCGTCAAAACCATACACTCCAACCACAGACGGCGCCAATTGATAGGATCAAACCAATTTAACAGCAAAGAATTAGAACTCAACAAATATTTTTGGGTCCAGAAAGAAATCTTTCCAGGTTTTTTGTATTTATCACTGAATTGAACTCATTACAATGCAAAAAAAAGAGTAAGGCTATGACCTTAATTACAAACACAATGACCAAAATAAGGAAAGAAAGTAACCCTGCACTTTCGAGAGGTGCATGCTCTCCTAATTCCAATCCATTTCCAGAATGCTTATTCCTCTCTCTGAGTGCTCTCTTTATTCTTCTAAACTTGACACGTCACGATGCTCTTTTCCTCCTCCTAGCCACCTCTAACAGAATGCTCTCCTGCACCACGTCAGCTTTTATGGGTTGATTATTCCTCTAATGTGCTTCCTACCATAAGTCTGTAGCACCTTCTTATCAGTCCGCAATAAAACAGACGACACTGTGTTTCATAAACATTTATCCTCTAATCAATACATCTATCTTGTGGTCTATGCAGATGATATTACTATCATAATTTGTTCTGGCACTTTGAGACTATGGTCAATTAAGATATTTTTTTGGGATATTGCTATCTCAAAGGAAAATGCCCTTGATATTTTGGAAGATACTGGAATTTTAGATTGTAAACAAGTTAACACTCCTATGGATCTGAATGTTAAAACCCTATAGATTAGGAAGAGCCTTGTTCAAACCTAGGCAGTTATTGAAGACTGCTGGTAAAACTTAATTATCTCGCTATTACCAGACTAGATATACTTTTTTGTTGTTAGTGCTGTAACCTAGTTTCTTATTGCTTCTTGTGACAAGCATTGGAACACAGTGGTTCAGATTTTGAGGTATGTCAAGGGCTCTCCCATAATTGGGGCTGGTATATGAAGATTGGGGCCAAGCAAACTTTGCTGTTTATACAAATACTAACTGAGCTGGATTTCCAAATGATTGAAGGTCAACCTCTGGATTCGTGTCCTTATTAGAGGGAACTTATTCTTATGGAAAAGCAAAAAGCAGAGTATAATTGTTAGATCAAGTGCTTAAACAAAATATTAAGCTATGGTTCTTACTACATGTGAACTTGTATGGTTAAGACAAATTCTTCAAAAGTTTTGCAAGTCAAGGTCTAGGATGCTAATTTATGATAATCAACCACATTGCACATTGCTTCCAATCCAATCTTTCATGAATGAACCAAGTATATAGAGATTAACTATCATTTCATCAGTGCAAAGATTGCCTCAAGAGTAGTCACTCCCTCTTTTTGTGAACTCCAATGATCAACTACCCAATCTCCTCACAAAATCTCTTCAGCTCCGAGAATTACAGACACATGTAGCAAGCTGAATGCTTATGATATATGGGCACCAGCTGATGGGTAAGTGTTGATATATTACATTTTGGAAACAGTTACTTTAATTAATGTAGCATTGGAAATAATAAGGTCCTAGGACATGATTATCTTATTATACATTGTTCTTGTAAACACAAGTTGTAATTATACCTTCATGTATATAAATTGCGGCATGCTTAGTTCAATTTCACTCAAAGCAAATTCATAGAAATCTCAGTTTTTCAACCTTTTTAAGCATTGTTATTAGAAAAAGGTCCAAACTCAACTCTAAAAGAAAGTCCAATACCAAGAAAAAACAGCCAATTTTAGAAAAGCTTACCGTTAAGGACAGTTGTCCAACAAGAATAAAAACAGCAATAAAGCTATTTATCTGGGCAAACAATTTTCTCCTACCAAGAGAGCTAGTAACTGTAGTGGCAACCACACTCACTTTCTGCAATCACAGAGTGGGAAACATCAGAAGAAATACGATGAACACATCTATGGGGGTTCAAAAATACATCTTAAAACATGTAGCAATAAAAACCACTTTGGAGAATGATCATTCAAAAAACTAATAATATTTCTGTTTAAAAGACTATATGAAGGAAATTGTTTGCATGGATTGCACATCCACATTCTTATTTATAGCTTGGTCTTCTGGTGATGGGCCTATCTGATGATGTAGGTCACTGAGAGAGGCGGGGGTCAGTGTGTAGCATGGTCAAACATTATTGAATGACACTTCTAGAAGGAGGTGCGCAAGAGGAAAGGAGGAGAAGATTAATAGTTTTCTCCACTACTTAATGCTCTGTCCCTGAAGAGTGGGTTGGTCGCAAACAGTGGCGAATGTCACAGAACAGCCTTCGGGAACAAGGCAAGATATATCTAAAAGGGGGAATGAAGGAGTGCATATGGTCAAAACTGTTGACTGGAAAAACAAACACACCAGAAATTAAATCAAAGAGGAGGCTAAACAAAGGTATTTCATAAGGAAATATGCAGAGGACAAAGTTACAGTATCAGTTCAAAAAGGACAATACCACGTTAAAAGATATAGCAATTTGAGATAAAGTTCGTGTAGGTTGCACATTTCTATTCTTCCGTATAAATATTACAACCAATCAATGAAAGAAGGGGTAATTGGGAGCTAGGCTAATTTCCACCCTGATTATCAGTACTGTCTTACTGCATGAGCACTAGGTAATCAACAAAATTACAGTTCATCAAGTGCTAATATTCTAAAAGAAATGCTAGTTTCTAACAATCTCCATCAAAAGCAAATCCCTCCCCCCATCCAACCAACAGCACACAGCAAAGAGGGGAAAAAAAAAGTATGAATAGGCTAGCATAAATTATGGTAAAAATATTGACAGAGGAGTAACATGATGCACCAAATTTCTTGGAACCAATTCTCTCTCAGTACTTGGGTGAGACCCCAAAGGTATCATTTAGTGACGTTACATATATCATACTTTGAAGAAGAATTTTGAAATATTAGGGTCATGTTTTTACATTATAGAAAAGCCATCTGTTATTCTTACAAAAACTGAAGGCAGATACAATTAGTATGAATTGTATCACTCAACATCAGGAAAAAAAAAAAAATCTATCGCACCACTTTCTTTCAAGTTCTTTTATATTCTAAAATGAATGGATATTTCCCCCTCCATAACCACTTAATTCAATAGAAAAATGACGTGAGTGTTTGGTAAGGAAAATGTGCCAGTGCCCATGGTTATATGTCAAGGAAATCAATAACATCTGACAAGAAGCAGGACATAAAAAGTTTATGTCAAGTTGACATTCACGAATAAGTTTCCAGTTTGGCAATTTCTGGCCCCATCATTTGGGAACCACAAGCAAGTATTAAACTGAAGCAATCATCATACAACCATTAGCTCCGAAGGTAATGTTATAGACACAATATCAACAATCTAAGGTTTGGCTTATTAGGTAAGGGTCCTCTCTGCAAGAACAGGTTGGGAGTTTTATCAAAATCCATGCAGCTAATTCTTAAAACATGAGAACTCCATAAAAAAAAAAAAGGCAAGATCTAGAGTCTCCAAGGGAATCCTATCCCTGAGTGGCATATCTATTAAATTTGAATCATTTGATTCAGTAGCATTCATGTGAGACTTCTAATGCCAGGAGAAACATACATGATGTTCTATAAATAGGCTTAAAAATTGACAACTATATTTTCTTTTTCTAACCATATGAGTATGAGGCAAACTTTTCTTATGTATGCCTTCCCTGCATGGAGTGTTGGTAGACTCATAGGCTATGAAGCAGGCCCCTAAAACCTCCATTAATTCCTCCACAACTCTAAACCATATTCCTTCTATCTTCCTTGAGATGAAGAGCCCAAAACTTCTATCTACCTGTCTGAATCTGAAGTCATATACATTGTGCTACTATGCTACCAACAAGACCTTCTGAAACATATTCCTTTAACTTCAAACACTGCTTTTTTTTTTTTTTAACCTCAGGGTAAGAACTTGAAACTGACAAACTCCAACAATAAAATCCAAATCTTGAAATCATATCATGATCTTCAAGCCAGATGTGTTAAATTTTTAACATATCCTTTAAATAGCAAGAAAACATGGGCAAGAATTATTGTTGGGAAAGTTATACAGTAGTTATTTTCCAAAAAAAAAAGTTATACAGTAATTCTGTCTTATTTGCAGGGAAGGGGACATGTCATGATCCTTTTTTTTTTTTAAAGTATTTAATGACAAGAAAATTGAAAGAGAACAAAAAAGAAGGATGTTAGGATAAGATCAAAATTAAATAACAACAACCCAAACACAAAAAAGGTCTCCAGCCCCTCTACATATCTGAAACCGAAATCCCTCTAAACAGCTGAAAAGTTGAATACTAATTAGGCAATGAAAACCAAGAATCATAAGCGTTATTCAATAATTCAGTACATACTAATTGTGTGCCTCTGTATTAACAGACCACAAGCAGTATTGGATGAGTTGCACACGACAAGATGGACTAAAAATGAAAACCAAGAGGAGGCATTAATAAATGGTATAAAACAGGCAGGATTGGACTTGGATATTCAACGGACGAGTCACCTCTTAGATTTGGCCTTTCCGTTGCTAAGTCTTTCAGAGAATCAGAGGAAGAGCAAATATGGCAGTAGAAATTTGGAAAGGAATAAAGCTCTACATAAATGCACAATTTTCCACATGTTATCATTCAGGTAGATCAGAAATGCTGATAATGAAGACCAAGGATTGCATCACAGGAAAGATTACCCAACCTGAAAATAGAAGAATGAAGAGACAACTGCATTTAGCCAGATGAACAATGATACATGTAACAGGTAAGTTGATGACAATATAAGCCAGAGTCCTTCTAACATGGGCCAAATTTGAAGCTTCAGAGAAGAAGTTGATGACTTTGGAGAACCTCTTGGAGGATGTTCGGTCTTCTCATCAGCCTCATTTTCGTTGTTGGAATCAGATTGTCTAAATTCAAAATAAATAAATGATTATAATCTTATCCCTCCTTTGTCTTTTGTATCACATCAATATACATAATAGAATATTATTCCTTCGTTGTTCTTTCTTTTTCTTCTTCCCTACCTAAATCCCAATAATTTCAATATGTATATTTCTTAAAGGTTAATACTTGTCCAGTGAATGAAAATGAGTTATGTACTATCTGAAACTAATATCCAGTTTTCAATCATATAAATGTGAACAAAAGAATATATGTAATGACCTAATGGGAGACAATTCTTCTTCAACATTAGATGTATCGCGATTTATCCCTCTTGATGTCTGCGCTGCAAATTCCAGCAACAAAGCAGCAAACAAAAGCAAGACTGCAGTAGACATGATTTTACATTAAAGAAAAGCAAAACTACAAGAGAAAGGATTGTATGGGGCACATGCAAACTTACATGGGCCAACAAAAGCCATTCCTGTGGCAAACAGTGACCCAAACAATTGTCCGAGGGTGGCACCCGCACCAATAAACCCGAATAATCTTGAACCTGACTGAACACAGAGCATGTTAAGTGGGCCCCAAATTTCCCAGACAAAAACAAAAATGATGTAGCTGTAAACAAACCTCACTGTCCATCACGTCAATTACCCTTGCCCAAGTTGAAGAAATTGTAATTAGATTAAGCAAAGCTACCTTCAAAAAACATAAACTAGTATCACAAAAATGTCTTTCGAAACAAGCTAATAGCAGAATGAAATCAAATTATACATTAGAAACTAAGAATGGTAAATTAAATTATTATAAAACTTACCCAAAGAAACAATCCTATTCGGACAGAGATATAGAACCATCCATGGTTATTCCAACCAAATGAAGATGCGAGACTGCCTTGTTCGTCAATTTTCCCTCCTTCTTTTGAGGGAACAGTCAAAGTTGAGGACCCCTAGGAACAGGAAACCCAATTTAACGCACTCAGATACAAGTAATGCTGAACTGAATAAACAATCTCGACGGCAACAAACAATTTCCAGTTATATTATTGTCTTACTATCTGATTGGACGTTGAATATCCAGCTGATGAGGAGTGCCACAGAATAAAGAACACTACGAGTGATACACTAAAGAACCTGTGTATCAAAACCAAAGCCTGAAATTTCACGAAGCACCATTACAGCATGACATGCAAGGGAACAACAACCACTATCTATCATTTTCAAAACTCATTTTTCATGACAAAATTAACTAAATAACTAAATATGAATGCATGCTATCATGATGTTAATGATTTTCTCTTATTTAGTAGAACTAGAAAACATAATAATGATTCCAAACTAGTTCATCGAATTACATCTGAGGTGTTGGATTTTGAAAATATGTTTATTTGCAACAATACTTCAAGAGTATTTATTATGTCTTGTGATTTTAAGAGGCAATTATGGCTCCAAATAAGATAAAAATACTACACTCAATGCTTTTCTGGGACCCAAATATATCTTTGGAAGACCATAAAAGATGAAGAGAAAGTAATAACTAAGTTTCCACCCCAAATCAGTGAAAAGAGGTCGAATAAGATGCTAAAAAATGTAGTTGGATTAGTAACTTCAAAAGTAGATACGGATTAGCACTCCTATATCTTTTGCTTATGAAATTAAAGAGTAGAAGATCACCAGAAGTTGCTAACTCAAGGAATATACAATAGAAAAAGCATACACTTTTCCTATATGTTAGGATTCTAAAGCTTAGCGAATCCCAAGAGGAAGCAGAATGCAACAAGGAGAGACAAGAATGGAGAATAGAGTAAAAAGAATGACATATCTGTTATTAAGATTAAATAAATAATCAAAATATTCCTTCACAAGGGTCATTCCTTTCCAACTGAGTTCCATACTCGGTTCTCCTGACAATCTCTTTGCCTTCTTTCTCTGCACAGCTTTCACCCTATTTAACCACTCACCTATCTACCTAACAGGATTGCCATCTTACTAATAACCCTGTCTAACTGTCTTAACTTCTCTAACTGTTTTTATATCTATGAACATACACTTTCCAATATCTTTATCTATCTGAGGCCTAACAATACCTCCCACTCCCACCTGAACTTGAACCTCGTCCCCAAAGTCAAAATCAGGAAACTGAGAACTGATCAATAGCACATCTTCCCATGTAGCCTGCTCACCAGGTCCCGAGTCTCAACTGCCATTGGACCAGCATCTGTTGAACCTCCTCCCATGCTGATTAACTGTGCAAGAACCCGATACCTTAGCAGATAGTAAGCAAGAGGCTCCCCCTCCAATGCCACAGGTAACTCCTGCTCCATGGCATGATCCCCCATGGCATGATCCCCCACAGCACCAACTTGCTGCACAACCAGAAAGGGACCAAAGGGGATGGATCCTTGTGGCTATGGACCCCTGTTCGGAGTGGACTGATCTTGAGGTAGACCCAATCCCCAGGCTGTAAAAGACAGGATTTTCTCCTCCTATTCGCAAATTTGGACATATGGTCCTGACTCCTGAACAAGAATCACCAATATCCTAATTGCCGTAATTACAAAATTTGGTTAGCTTATTATATTATATACATATTTTCCAACATTATCCCTCAAGCTTAAGCATATAAGTCATCTGCACCAAGTTTGTTACATATATAACTTAATCAGTTGATCATATGAGTTGACAAACCTAGTGAGTAGTGATGTCTCTAAATAGCAATCAAACTTAATGTGCTTGGCACTCGATGTTCTGGGAAAAGTTTTCACCGGCAAGCAATGGATCCATTGGGCAGGCAGGCACATATTAGGGTTGCCTCCCTTCAGGCTCTAAATACTATGTAAGACATGAAGAAATCCATGCATTCGAATTACAAAGCAGAAGCTCTATTATATAGAGTTAAAGCAAAAACTACAAGAATCACAAATATCCTAATTTACCTTCATTACAAGATTTAGTTAGCCTATTTGCAATATTTATATATATATTCCCACACTACAAAATGCAGTTAAAAAAAAAACTAAAATATAATAACATTGAATTGATTAGATCCTAAAGCACTATGAGTAGCACGCATAATTGTGCTAGGATTTTTAAGCTCAACGCAACTCCATTCAGTCATTAGTTTCAAATTTAAAAAAAAAAAAAAATGGTTAAATGAATGATAGGCACAAAGAATAAAGTACTCTATAAATAAAACGTTACCTTGTTTTTCGAAAGATTAGGAAGAGAGAATATGAGAGAAGAAAGAGGCGCAGCGAAGAGGGTGAGCACCAAGGACCCTACAAATAAACCAGGTAAATTTGATAACCCCAATGAGATGGCACCTTCGTCCCGCAACGGAAGAACTACGAAATACGCACTCAAAATCTGCAACAAATACAAATACAACAACAACAAAATTAAAAAAGAAAGAAAAAAAAAAAAAAAAACGGAAGAGGAGCACTCTCACATTCATAGATAGTGATTGCATTGAGCAGAGAAACTCACGAAGAAGAAGCAGAAGAAGGAGTGAAGCAGAGCAGAAGTCTCATGCGGGTGCACCGTAACAAACACGGAGACGAGCGCATCAAACAAAGACCTCCCCATCGCGTTTCCGTTTTGGATCGGAGGAAATGGTGAAAGACAAAAAAGACGAATCCCAAGACTTAGCATTAGTTACCTCCCAAAGTGAAAGTCAATCCCACGTGGCAAGAACGAGAACACGGAAAGAAAATAAAGTGCAGCTGTATCGTATCACTGCTCAACGACTCAAAACACATCAACGAATGAGATCATTCCACGTAAGGATTGCAGAATTCCAAAACCGCACTGTAACATAAACGTTCCCCTTCCGTAAACGTCACGATACTAAGAACTCAAAAGCAAACGATGACTAAAGCCATTCTCTCAGGTTCACTCTTTCTACCAAAAGCCCTAAAGTTTTGCTCAAATTCAAACGCTAACCGGAGGAGTTGCCGTGTGTTTGGAATGGACGCTGCAGCTAGGGTTTCCAATGGTGGCGATGGTGTAGTTCGATTCTCGTTATCTCCATCAAACGCTTTGGTCATTCAGAAAGGAGACATCACCAAATGGTCCATCGATGGTTCCACTGACGCAATAGTATATAAATATTCCTCTCTGGTGTTTTTATTTATTTATTTATTTAATTTAAGAATCGTAGGTGTAACGATGTGTTATATTTATTGCATTAAAGGTAAATCCTGCAAATGAGAGAATGCTTGGAGGTGGTGGTGCAGATGGAGGTAACTGATTTCTATATATACTTGAATTTTGAGAATAATGTTCTTAAAAACAGAAAGAAATCATAAATTAATAATGCTTTATAGTTAGTTTGGTAGGGAAAATTTCAGGGATGAGTTTTTTCATATATAGCTGATACGTGTTTTCAATTGGTGTATCAAACTGACCTTGAACGACACCGTTTTGCTCTGCTATCAGCTATACATAGGGCTGCAGGTCTATATCTTTATCAAGCATGCCGGAATGTTCCAGAAGTCAGGCCCGGAGTTCGCTGTCCAACAGGGGAAGCAAGGATCACAGAGTGAGTGAGTTCTTCTAGTTTTACATTTAGGACCCCTTTGGATTTTGGATGAGCATGTTTTTAAGCTTATTTGGTTTCGGCAAGCACTTATGAATAATCATATTGGATGAGGTTATTAAAATAGCTTTTGAAACTCACTTAAGCTGTTTTTGGCTTTATTTTCATGAGGTGTACAAATTGAAGCTTGTGTATGGAAGTAAGCCTTGGCAAAAACCAAAAAACATCATAAGCACTGTCGTAGTTCATTAAACATTTTTCTTAGACTATATTTGGACTTAAAAGAACGGTAGTATAATATAAACTCGCCCCCTTCGTTCTTATTATTCCTCATGTATGAAGAAAAATTGGAGAATTTTTTTAAATCTAGTTACATATTGACCCACTACTATGTTGACATGCTTAAGTTAGTGCGAACTTTGAATTCTTTGCCCCCTCTCACAATTTTTCTGGTTCTGCCATTATTAAGCAGTTTAAACTGTTCTACTTGTCACCTATATATCTTGTACTTGTTGATGTTCAGGGGTTTTATGCTGCCTGCTTCTCATGTTATTCATACTGTTGGCCCCATCTACGATGATGATAGTAATCCTGCTGCCTCTTTGGCAAGTGCTTACAGGTAGCTTTTTTAACATTGTTCTTATGCAGCTATTATTCTTCATCGTATTTGAATCAGCAAAAGTTTATTGATTCCATTTTGTATTTTTGGTTCACTGTCATTACACTTGATTGAGATATTTGTATTGTCAATTTGACTTGCAGGAATAGTTTGAGGGTTGCAAAAGAGAACAACATTCGTTATATAGCATTCCCAGCCATATCATGTGGTGTCTATGGGTAGGTTTATGTTAACAAAACACACCTGCAAATCTAATGTATTCATCCTCCATGTTTTGATCAGCAATAATGATCACATAGCAACACTAGTGTGAAACTTCAGGTTGGTAGCGTGGCTTGATACGTAATTGTCTTTCATGATGGAATCATCCTAAGGAAAAGTTGTTTCCTTAGGGCTAGGCAAATGTGGCTGGACTTCTGATTTGCTTTTGGGAGAATTATATTTTGAGGATCTGGGAAAAAGACAATATGAATTTATGATTTATAATAAGACTATTGTGGTTAATCATTTCAAATGTTTGGTCATTGGAAATAAACAAAACCAACCACTCCCCTTTAAATCCCGACTAGTTAGGGTGGGGTGAGGATAATCCTTATATGTAGTTTTACCCTTGCATAATTGCAAAGAAGCTATTTCTTGAATTTTAATTCTATATATGATAGCCATGTTATTTGTTATGATGACCAATCTGTTCTCAAACCTAACAAATTCAATCTGTTAGCTCTCAAATCTAATTCTCCCTTTGATTTTTTAGTAGATCCAAGCCTTTCATCACAATTGTATAATGTTGCGTTGTTTCAGATACCCCTATGATGAAGCAGCCACAGTGGCAATTTCTACCATCAAAGAGTTTCAAAATGACTTTAAGGAGGTATTACATTCCATTTACTCCGTTTTCTATATTTGGTCTGAGTTATGATATGAATAACTATACATTTCACTTCTTGCTTTTAATATATTAACATTTCCAATTAGACGTAATCGTTGGCCTTTGGGTTTCATTATACTTTTCAATACTGGCCCAAATTTTTTTTGACAAAATTAAGACCCAAGTTTAGCCCTAAGATTAATTCTATTCTATTCCAGTCTTTGGAATCATTGAAAGATGGAATTGATTTGATATGATTTGGTAATCAGATCCACTCAAATTGAACCAGATTTGAGTGGATTTCTATAATAATTTCTAAATCAAGTAAGTTCTTATTTAATAACTTTATACAGGATTTTATTTAAAAATAAAATTATTTCCTATTCCTGAACTTTTCAAATAAAGGTTTTAATTTTAAAATCAAATCAATTCCTATTTTTTAACTTCTTAAACAAAAATTTAATTTATAAATGAAATCAATTCCCAAATTTGTGGTTCCAAACAGTGTTCCAAATATCTCTACACTTGACCCAAGAGTTGTTGGTCTAGTGGCGTTTCAGCCAAGGAAGCACTGACACTTGTAAAAACAGGAAGAGTCGGGTCCGACACGCTCCGACACGTTCCGACACGGTGTCGGACACGCGGTTGACTTTTTCCGACACGTTGACCATTCCGACACGCGAATTTGACCGTGTCCGACACGCGAATTTGACCGTGTCCGACACGGTCAAATGGCATTTTCGTAATTTTTTTTTAAATTTTTTTAAAAAAATTTTTAAAAGTTAAAATATATTAATAAAGCTTCCACCTGATCATATCAATTTTATCTTTTTGTCTTTTTTCCCCTCAAGTAGATAAGAGATCATCTCAGCATCATTGTTGTCAATTCCTATCACGCTCTTGTTGTATCTTTTTCTCTCTGAGCTCTCTCTAATATGATTTGATCTCTCTATCTGATATTATATTCCTCTCTCATCCCAGTTCTTATTTTTTTTATTAAAGCTTCCATCTTTATAACGTGTTGATGGGTATTATTAATTTAGTTTCATTTTTTTGTTAAATTATTAAATATTAAATGAAATATACACTATATAAATTAAAAATACTATTTAATATTAAAACGTGTTCCAACGTGTCGAAATTCATAATTTTTTAAGATTGACGTGTCGAAGTGTCGTGTCGTGTCGCGTGTCGTATCGGTGCTACATAGGTTTCAGCTACATCTCAGAATTTGACCTATCCAAATAGTAGTGGGTTCGATTCTTGAGAATCTAAATTTCTAGGGAGGGTGAAAAGACTCAAACCCGATACTGGATTAGTGAGATCCATTACGGCTTCGGACACCGGTTGGTAATTGTCAAAAAAATAAAAAATCCCTCCACTAGTAAATACCATACATAATTATGACATGAGGCGACCTGTTGCTTTATTTGAAGTTTCTATTATTAGGGTTCCTAGAATATGTAATAACATTTAAATATTTATTTCAGGTCCACTTTGTTCTGTTCTCGCCTGATATTTATGACATTTGGTTAAATAAGGCTAATGAGTTGCTGAAAGATTAGCTTGCGCCATCAATAATACGTCTACAGAATTGAACGCCAGAATCGTCTAGACTCTTGCAACAAATGCATTATCATATTTCAGATGGTTGTGTAAGGAAATGATATTAGCTAATAACACCCTAATTGAGATGTAATCTGCTTTTGAAGATTAGAGAGTGATGCTGATTGTTATTTTATGCTATATGTATGTGATTGGGATTATAAATGAGATCTATCTGCGGCCTGTCTAAACTTTGGTGTTCATGACCGTTTATGATAGTGCACTACTATTCTGTTACGGGGATTTTTCTATTGGTTTTTTCCCATGTACCTTTGGTAATTATCTAATTTGTGGAGGTTACTTGATATGGATTGATGTATTATTTTTCAAGCTAGTGTAATTTCTTGCTACCCAACAGAAAATGATTTGATTCGTTAGCGGGAAAAAAAATTTAGTAAAAAACTACCCATAAAAGAAAAAGTGAAAGAAAGATAGAATTTTTGTTGAATTAGGAGGAAGGGTGAATTTTAATTTGAGTTAAAGCGACAAAAGTTAGATAAGTAGTTTTTGTATTTCTTCAGGTGGGGTAATAAGTCTCAGGTGTGGCAAAAATGGGTTTAATCTGTTGCCTTGACCTATTTAACTAGTTACAAATGGTGGGTTGAGAATCTTTAATCTGTCAACTTGTTTCAACCTGCTTTGCACAAAGATAGGTTAAAATGGGTTTAATCTACTGCAGGGTAGGTTGACCCGTTGGGTCTTTTTTTTTTTTACTATAGTTGGTATTTTACTTTTGTATGTCAAGTTTTTGCGATATTTAAATTTTTTTATTTTAGTATTTATCCTTAAAAAATAAAGGAAAATTATTTTATTCATGACAAAAGTTATTTATACATAGATGCAAAAATGAGTTCTTATAATTATTATTTAGGCTTGAGATTGGAAAAAAAAAGAGGTGTGTGAAATAAAATTAAATAATATTATAAACTCATGAAATATGATTCATTTTTAAATTTTGTATTTTTTAAACGAATTGTCCTGTCAACTTGTTATTAAATGGGATGCTTTGATATTTTCGATCCATCTTTAAGAGGCAAGATGACACGTCTCATTCCGTAGTGACCAACTCACTTTGCCACTTTAAGTCCACCCAACTTCAACCAATATCAATAATAATTCAATTTATTTCAAATACTTTCTTGCTTTGTTTTTTTGGTTATATTCATTCATTCATTTTTATACTCAGATTCAAAATAAAAATAAAAATGACACTATATCTCTAATATTTTTTTTATAGTATTTCTGTTGTTTCTTTGATACATTTTATTTGCTCATAGCATCTTTCAATTTTTGTCATGGTTGAACCCTCTAAAGCACGGACTCGTTGATTTTTTAAAATTGTGCGTCCGACACGGACACGTTCCGACACGTTTTTTCGACACACAGTCAACTTTTTCTGACACGTGGTTAACATTCGGATACGTTTTTTTTTTTGTCTTAATTTTATTTTATTAACTAAAAATAAAAAAAATTATTTATAAATCAATTTTTTTCTGTTATGAAATTTGACATGAAAAATTAACAAGGTACGAAATATTATTTTTTTTTATATTTATGTTATGAAATTTGAATATTTGATTGGTTATATGACTTATCATGGACTGTTATATCTATTAAATATAAATTATATTACATATATTAAAAATATTATTTAATATCAAAACGTGTCCCAACGTGTCGAAATATGTTATTTTTTAGAATTAACATGTCGACGTGTCGTGTCGTGTTCTGTGTTAGTGTCCGTGCACCATAGATTGGCCAATCAGACAATTTTTTTGCTGGTAAATTATGAGGCTTTTGGTAAATAGAAATGTTGTAACTTACCTTCATTTTGTTTCACTTAACAATCTAAGAATTTTTTTTTCTAAATTATAATATAACAAATAAAATATATTTATATCATAAATTAGTACACCACAAAACATAGAGAATTTGAATAATATATATGGTATAAAATTATTAAATAAATAATAACAGCATTTATGTTGATCGATTATTTTATCCCTATTTTAATTTTTTTTCATTCTATCCTCTTCTCAAATTATATATTAATATGTACCTATTTGACAAATGTTTAACTGATAAGTATTCGAGTAAATGGACAAATACATAAAATGTCGGTCAAACATACACCGATTGATATATATATATATATATATATATATATATATATATATGGAAAGGGTGCATTGATATATAGTTTAGGAAGAGTAAAATAATAAATAAATTTTAAACGGGGGAAAATGATCAATTAAACTAACATTTAATATAGTAAAAATTAGAAAGAAAAAAAAAATTCAATACTTTCTTCTTTGAGTGATTGGGATTAAAAATTTCATAAAAATAGTTGTTTGATTTTGTAACTTCTCGCATATCTTGGACTTAGATATTGATATGGCAAAAAAAAAAAAAAGTGGTATTTTATTTTATTTTATTTTTGGTTATTATAAGGATAATGCTATGCATAACAAAATTCTTTGTTACGAACTCTCTTACCAATGTGGGGGAATATTACTAACAACCGACTACAACTAACAGTCATTTGAAAATTCAAATAAAGATCGGGATATGAATAAAACTGTTTGTCTTTTATTCTTTTGTATAAGTTTTTGTATAAGTTTTTTTTATGGCTTTTATTAATCTACTTCCACATAAGATAGATATCTTACGTGGTAGAGAGAAAATGGGTGAGTCCTACCATTACAAGAAAAAAGAAAAAGAATAAGAAAGTAAAGTACGAGAATCGAAGTGAGAGAAAATGAGATAAGTTATCTCATGTAAAAGGAGAGTAATATTTCTCTTTTTTTATTAATAGTATTCGTAAAAAATAAGATAACTGCCTTTTGTTTTCAAGTGAGATAAAGATAATTTTAGCTATCTTTTTTTTTCAAGTGACATGAACATAACTATATTTTATTCAAGTGATTAAACCAGCACATAAGATATAACCTTGTTAAGTTCTTGTGTTCTTTCTTTGATACAGTTATAGGACTAAAAAGATTAGTATAGCATTGTTCCATCGTAGCCATGGAGGAACATAACGATGAGTATCCAATCAGACAAGTGGACCTAACCGTGCCCAAAATAGATGATCCCAACATGCCTATACTCACTTTCAGAATGTGGGTTCTGGGCATTGTTTCGTGTGTGGCCTTGTCTTTTGTGAACCAGTTTTTTGGGTACAGAACACAGCCTTTAAGTGTACGTTCAATAGCTGTGCAAATTGCTGTTGTTCCCATTGGACACCTCATGGCAAAGACTTCGCCAAAACGTGTGTTTTTAAAGGATACATGTTTTGAGTTCACAATGAATCCAGGACCTTTCAATGTGAAGGAACATGTTCTAATAACCATCTTTGCCAATTCTGGTGCTGGATCAGTCTACGCTACTCATATTTTGACTGCAGTGAAGTTGTTATATAAAAAGCCTCTATCTTTTCTTCCAGCATTCATAGTTATGCTGACCACTCAGGTTTCCCTTTTTTTTTTTTATGCTTTCATTTATCTTTATTTCAAGGCTTGTTTTTGTTTTGCTATAGTGCTTATCACTCATTAATCAAGGGATTGAAATGTCTTGTCTCCTTTTCCTCCCATCCCAATTAAACTCTCTTAATTCAACCATTTAATTTATAAATTAGTCATTTTTAGAATGGATAGCCTTATATTAAAATTTCACACAATTTTTACATGAGAATTGTGTATCTATCTACCTTTCATATATATACATTTTTAATTATAAAGAAAGACAAAAACAAAATTCATATCAAATTTTAACAAGAAAAAAAATTGTATTCTTAAGAAACATGGGAATGAATATTAGATGGATGAAAAATAATTAGGGATGGCAAAATATGTTATGAACGTGACGCAATATGTTAAAATATATGTTTTGTCAACTCATGGGTTAAAATTTGTCGGTTTAGAAAAATGACACAAATTATTATATGTTGTATAACAGGTTGATTGCCTGTCAACTTGTAACTATTTTTTTTTTGTCCCAAGCAATAAAAAATTTGGAATTTTGATAATATTGACATGACCTGCTATGGGTTTTGAGTCAATTTATCTATTTCATTCAGATTTTCTTATTATATTTAATTATTATTTTTTGAAAAATTAATTTTTTTTTCTTTTTCTTTTTTTGTAGGTTACAGAAAATAGAACACACAACCACACACTCACACACATCCTATTACACACACCCACACCACTAGTGTGACTCATGACATAACAGGTCATGACACATTTAAATTTTTGACTCATAAATGAAAACGTGTCATATTCGAGTTAAATGATTTCACTTATGGATTAGACCATTATACCACATGAACCCAACCCATTGATACGTTTTGCTTGCCATTTTAAATTTGGGTGGCAAATTTTAATTGGAAGTATAGGGAAGGATATATGAAAAGTGCCAAAAGTTTGTATCAATGATGCTAGGCGAATTATTGCAGGTTTTGGGTTGGTTTGCTACTGCTAACATTGCTATTGGATTCGTTCTTGTTATGTATGTATGTAATGACCCCCTTAATTTATTGGCTAAATGTCTATGATTCCAAGAATTTCCCAATATTTTCAAGTGAGCTTTTCATGAAAAATGGTTCAGTATATGACATTTCCAGCATAGTAGACTCTAACTTCCATCTTGATAGACAAGCTTATTCAAGCATTGGGTCTTTACAACTCAGCACTTTCTTTGCAATGACATATGGTCTTGGATTTGCTACACTTTCTGCCACTCTTGTGCATGTTCTTCTTTTCCATGGAAGGTAATGACTACTCTTAAGCATTTGATAACATCACCAATGCCAATTATTTTTTTAAGACGTTTTGGCTATACTTTCAAGTATTTTGATTTCTTCCAAATGAGTAAGGATGTTACGTTTCATTTTATTTTATTTTCTATTTTTTGTTTCTGTAAGTTATGCAAAAAACTTAATTCCATTTAATTTTGCCTCACGCAGTGACATATGGAAGCAAAGCAAAAGGGCCTTTGGAGGCAGTAAAAAAATGACATACACACAAGGCTAATGAAGAAGTACAAATCAGTACCGTGTAGGGGTGTTCATTCACCGATTTAAACTGCAGCGATTGAATCGAAAATTGAAAAATTAAAAACCCAAAAAAACCGAAAAAAAAAATCGCAAATTTTAATTGGATTGGATCGATTTTCGGATTGGTTGATGAAAACTGATCCAATCAAACCGATCGAATATATTAATTCCCCTCTATCTACTTGGGTCTTTCCCCAATCATAATCCAAAAATTTCTAAACCTAAGATCCATTAACCCATCAACTAAACCAAAAAAAAAAAAAAACTTAATCACATCTCATCAACAAAATTTCATCTGTATAGAGCTTTATATCTCATTGCCAACAAAAAACTATATTATCTTTTTGTATTTCAAAAAAAATAAATTTTCAAAGTCAATATACACAAAAGATGTTATTTTCACAATAATCTTGAAACGAATTTTAGGATTTTTAAAAAACCGAAAACCGATCCAATCCAAACCCAACAAAAACTAGATTGGATCGGATTGGATTTGAAAAAAAAAACAAATTGAATGGATGATTACATTATCAAACTGAAGAGATTAGATCGAATGATTTTTCCTTCCAAAATCGATCTAATCCAGACCGCGAACACCCCTACCGATGTGGTGGTTTCTCATCATCCTAGTGTTGAACATTGCTCTTATTATTTTTGCTAGTGTGCACTACAACGAATCAGTTCAGTTGCCTTGGTGGGGTGTTTTACTAGCTACTGCAATTTCCGTTTTCTTTACTCTACCAATTGTTATAATTATAGCCGCTACAAATCAGGTATCTTAATGATTAATTTACTTTGAAAACATGCTTGTTTTTTATATTGATGCTAAAAGAGAATTATCTAATGTGCTCTTCTCCTTTTCTGCTTTTAACAGCAACCAGGTTTGAACATCATAACAGAATACGTCATTGGCTACATGTATCCAGAGCGCCCTGTTGCTAACATGTGCTTCAAGGTGTATGGATACATTAGCATGTATCAAGCACTAACCTTTTTGCAAGACTTCAAACTTGGTCACTATATGAAAATTCCACCAAGAATAATGTTCATGGCACAGGTTAATTAGTTATGGTCAATTATGTTTTTCAAATTTGAAACTAGCTATATATGTTCAGAAAATAAACTTGGCTACTTTGAATGCAGGTGGTAGGAACACTCATAGCAGTAATTGTATACACAATAACCGCATGGTGGTTGATGGCTACAATTCCTAACCTTTGTGATGTCTCTAAGTTGCCACCAGATAGCCCTTGGACTTGTCCAATGGACAATGTGTTCTTTGATGCATCTGTTATATATGGGGTCTTCTAGGGCCACGCAGAATCTTTGGAAACCTTGGTGAATATGGGAATGTGAATTGGTTCTTCCTTGGTGGGAGCTATTGCTCCCTTTTTAGTTTGGCTTGCTCATAAGGCATTCCCAAGTCAAAAATGGATACCTCTTATTCACATGCCTGTTTTATTGGGTGCAACATCAATGATGCCTCCTGCAACTGCTGTCAACTTCACAAGTTGGATAGTTGTTGGGTTTATATCAGGGTTTGTAGCATATAGATATAAACCAGAATGGTGGAAACGCTACAACTATGTCTTATCTGGTGGCCTTGATGCTGGAACTTCATTCATGGCAATCATATTGTTCCTTCTTTTGGGATCTACAAGCATTTCCTGGTGGGGAAATAGTGGAGAAGGGTGTCCCTTGGCTACTTGCCCTACTGCCAAAGGCATTGTTATTAATGGTTGTCCAGTTTACTGATTACCTTTAAAACTACATTGAATTCTGTATATGATCATAGGTTACCAACTTGTTAACCTTTTGACTGAAAATTTGATTAATATTATTACCGGGAAAAGTGTGTCCTTTAAAAACACAAAAGCTTAAATCATTTTAAGAGAGAGATAGATACAAAGAAATGTAAATTCCACTGAGAAAAATAAAGATAAAAAAAAATAAAGATATGAGTCTTATCTCTTTATATCTATTTCTCTTTTAAAAAGACCAAAATTTATGTCCTTTAAAAGGACACACATTTTTCTCATTATTACTTTTTAGGATGAATTGGGCATTTTATAATACTTCTAAACTTTGTTTACCCTTTTTTTTTTTTTTTTCAAAAAGAAGTCATTTGTAGCTGTTTTAAATTTTTATGAATGTTATCTGTTCAAAGAAATTTTATTATTGTGATGAAAGTATCTGCGCCGTTGTTAAGGAAGATTCTTGATTATCCTCCATTTCTTAGTTGAAGAACTTTCAAATACTTTATTTGGGTTTAAAAATGGAAGCCGAAAAATTTGTATATATATTTTTCTTATGAGCTAATTCTACACGAACCATAAAAATATATGAATTAAAATGAGGCAAGTCAAATTGTTTATTTACACTTCTTATTAGCTAACTTTGATTCTAACTTCTTAAATTACCCTATTATTAACTAATTTCTTTTTTACACAAAGTAAACATCAATTAACTATTTTTATTTATTCTCATTCTTAATTAATTTCAATTGTTCTATCTCTACATAAATAAGCAAAAAATATTAATAGGACCAAATTATTTAATACTTATAAAGAGAGAAATAAATAAATTTTTATAAGACTGCAATTTTTACATGATCCACTCCCATTTATTCTGGAATGAGTCATCATATGTATAAATTTCAGATAACTTGATCATGTAAAAATTTTATGCTTTAAGATGACCCGACTAAACAGTTTTATTTTCCATAAAATAAAAAGGGAACCTCGTAAAGCATACAAATAACACAATCTTTGTGTTATTAACTATATACAACTGCTTCTCGTATCCTTACTAAAGGTATATGAGAAAATAGAAAAAATTTGTACCCAAAAGATACATTAGCAGTTTGAACCCCACTCCCAGGCATACTCAAAGAAAAAAGGTACACTATAAAAAAATTGCACAACCCCACAGTCAAGGAATAAATCTTTGGTGCTACTATTGCACCAAAGATTCAGTACATCCCATCAATAGAAATATTACATTTCAGCTAAAGTTTTTTTTCTCTGCCAAATTTTTTCTCTCTCTTATGATGTGTAATGCTCTCATTGGTGAGATGCACTGAATCTTGGTGCAACAGTAGCACCAAAAATTGGAGCAGGTTAACAATCTATCCACTGAGCTTTCAAGGAATCAGTTATTCATGAAAATATTGAGAACAAGTCAGCACAATTGCATTAAAATGACATTTTATGATTCAGACAAATATTTTCAACTCTACAGTGTGTGTGCAATCTCAATAGCATTTTTTAAGATTTCCAGCTTTGTCATAGAGCCCTATGCTAATGTAGAATTCCCAGCCACGAGATGGAGATATGCCGCCATAACCAACTTGATGTATAAAATAGAGTAAATACCATTTTTAGTCCCTGACAATATCTACGAAGTCCTTTTCAGTCCCTGGCAATAAAAAAGGACCAAATTGGTCCCTGAAAGTACAAAAAAAGGACCACTCTACATATTTGAGAGTTGACATAAGGACTAATATGGCCTTTTTTTTGTAATTTCAGGGACCAATTTGGTCCTTTTTTATTGCCAGGGACTAAAAAAGACTTCGTAAATATTGACAGGGACTAAAAAAGGTGTTTACTCTATAAAATATTATGTACATCGCATGAAAAGATTGCATTGAAACAAATATATTCAAGCAAAAGCGATTATAAGTTATTTGATGGAACCATCAATTGAAAGCACATCCGCATCTAAGCTTAAATTAGTCACTCAACTTGCAAACGTCAATGAACTTCTGTACTGCGTTATGGTATTGAGTACCCTGTGTAAAGGACAGACACAGCACATTAGAAGGTTTGTTGTATTACATCCATGTATCTACTATCTAGAATGTCATAATAATCAACTTAAGTTAATGAAAATTCTCCTCACTTTTCCTTTGTTCTTAGTCAAAACAAATAACTGACAAACATAAAAGATGTTGACCCCAAAAAAACAGAAAAAGGAGAATCTGTTTGGCTCCTGAAAATATATATATAATCACCACTATTTCAGACAGACAAAATCTATCTGATTATCCTTCCACTGGTCGAACTGTAATCTAATACTCAGAGAAAATTAATTCTTCATATGTCAAAAATCTTGCATATAAGCTACCCTTCAACAAGCAAGGGGATTAAGTTGACAAAACAATCAGTAAAGCAAGAAAAATTGGGTTTTTTTGACCCTTTTGTCCCTCATTAAATAATTAATAATCATTTTGTCCCGTGCCCAAAACTATCCACCATCTTGCCCCTCTTTAATCGATTAACTTCAATATTTAATCGATTAAATGGTCAAAACACGCAAAAAAGGTTGACCTATGATTTAATCGATTAAATCTCCCTCTTAATCGATTAAATCATGCATTTTTGTTTTCTAGGTTGACCAACCGATGGAGTGATGATCATGCCCCAGCAAAATGAACAACCATTAATTCATGTGATTTAATAAGGGCTGTAAGTGATGATCATGCCATTTATCCTGTAAGAAAAATATTTCTTCTTAAGAGATCATGCCCCAGAAAAATGAACAACCATTAGAATTAATGTAAAGATCAAATAACCCTAGATTGACCATAATCTCCAACTCCTTTTCCCCGCATTTTTGAACCATGATTTCCTTTGAAAGCTCAACAGGAAACAACACGATCTGAATTTCTATAATTCAATCCACATAAAGTAATCTGACACTTGTTCATCTCAGTGACAAAAACCAATCAAACACTAGATATAGATAAATCAAATACCCTTTGAAGAAGACTTCGACTGAGGAGGTGGAGAGAATTCATCTGAAACATCAGGAATCTGCTTCCATGCCTCCAACATCTGATTCATAACTTCCCGAACCAACTTTACCTACAAACTTTGTTTTAATCTGATTTTCAAATTCTTTCTGGCATGATTTAATCGATTAAGAGGAAGATTTAATCGATTAAATCACGGATCAACATTTTTTTGGGTGTTTTGACCGTTTAATCGATTAAAGAGGGACAGGTTGGTGGATAGTTTTTGGATAAGGGGCAAAATGGTTATTAATTATTTAATAAGGGGCAAAAGGGTCAAAAAGCCAGAAAAATTGTCTGTGCCAAAATGCAAATTCCTCAAGTGTCAAAGATAGAAAAACTGCATGATCACGCTTCCAAAATAACAAGTCCAATTGACTAAATTATGCCGATGAAAATGAATGATTAGGCAATGTTAAATAGCAACTTGCGAACAAACTGAACTGGTAAACACTACCTCCCAATATAGTTGGTGACAGTCCATGCACTGCCAAAACTCTAAATTCTTGTCAAATAAGCAATTTGGAATTCTTTGAAAACCCTTTGCAGCTTCAATAGCCTCTTCAGTTGTCAGTGGCTTTTGAATAAATCTTCCATTGCATTTTGTGCACCTTGACATTAGCTGATCCTCACTAATTTTTAGCTGAAAAGTTTCAATAACCTGAAACACACTTCAACATTAGCCTTTGTGACATGCTTAACCTTTTTCCTATCCACTTTGCAATAATAGACTGTGCCAAGGAGGATTAGACTTCTTTTTTGGGTAATCTAAGGAGAAATAGACTGTGCCAACACAGCAAAGACAACCTTTCAGGTTAAATAGGGATATAATATCAAAATCCATTGGCTCAATTTTAGCTCATCATCAGCACTTTTGCATTATTCAAAAAAGTTCACATTTTAAAATTAATAAGGGTTCCTTAAAATATAGAGATGTTATACAATTTTACTTTCATGGAAATGCATATTATCAACCTATTTATGTGGATAATCATGTAAAAAATAACAAAAGCTTTTTTTGGAAAAAAAACTTATTTGCCTTCTGTGGTAATTCTAATTAAATAGACAGTAAATTACATGCTTTACATGGAAAGGAGAGATTAGATGAAATTTCCAAAAGTATAGATTCTAATTAACTGAAGACTAGGATCTGTACATGGTAAGAAAATAATACCAAAACAGAAAATAATAGAGGCATACATTTACTATATTTAAATAATAGGCATGTGCATAATAATTAACAATAATACAGCTATAAACTTAATAAAAATAAACATGAAACATAGCTGGCCCTAGACTTTGGCTAGCATAGCTGACGATAACAAATTAAAGTACCCATACCTCAAGTAGCTGTTCATTTTTTAGAAGACTCTTCACTCTATATATTTGGTTTTTTGTTAGATACTGATGTTTTAGCAACTTTGCATCCCGTGTCAAAAGCACTCTTTTCTCTTTTTGTGCTTGCTCTATCAACTTCCTGAATATAACGAAAATAGAGTTTCACCCAAAAGGAAAAAGGCAATAGCATTAAATCAGCTGTCAGAAGAATAACACTGAGCTTATACCAGACTCAACAATTAGATAACAATTGTTGAGATATATAGTCCCACATTGGTTGTATATGCAACTAATGTGGAGTTTATAAGGCCTTGGGCACTCCCACCCTTTGAGCTAGCTTTTGGGGTGGTGTATCCCAAGGTTCTTAACATGGTATCAGAGCCTCGCCGCCCCCCACTTTCTCTTGTGGCGTTTCTTAGCACAGGTAGGCTGGGCCTGTTGCATTGTCCACTCTTCAAGCCCAATGGGCTCCTGTGTGAGGGGGCGTGTTGAGATATATAGTCTCACATTGGTTGTATGTGCAACTAATGTGGAGTTTATAATAATCACATGGTGTATTACAATGTACAAGAGCTCTCTATTTAAAGAGACTAAAAGACCTAATAGGTTGAGCTCATACGATGTGGGACTATATATATACTGAACTATTTTTACAACTATTCTAACACCCCCCCTCAAGCTGGAGCATATATATTATAAGCACCCAGCTTGCCACAAATATATTCAACCCGAGGACCCCTAAGAGCTTTAGTGAACACATCCGCGAGTTGATCATTGGAGTTGACAAATTCCGTTTTGATTTATCCTGACTGAATCTTTTCTCGAATGAAATGACAATCGATCTCTATATGTTTGATTCTCTCATGAAATACAGGATTAGAGGATATATGTAGTGCAGCTTGATTGTCACAAATGAGAGTCATGGGTTTCTTCTGTTCACAAAGATGGAGCTCCCGAATCAACTGTTTTAACCAGATTAGCTCGCAGGTAGCAACTCCCATTGCACGATACTCGGCCTCTGCACTAGATCGAGCAACAACAGTTTGTTTCTTACTTTTCCAAGAAATCAGGTTTCCTCCAAAGAAAACACAATAGCTTGAAGTAGAGCGCCTATCCGAAGGTGATCCTGCCCAATCGGCATCTGAATAACCACAAATTTCTGTATTTCCCTGATATGAATATAATAAACCTTTCCCTGGTGCTCCTTTGATGTAACGAAGGATCCTAACCGCAGAATCCCAATGAGAATCACACGGAGAATCAAGAAACTGACTAGCAACACTAACAGCAAAAGAAATGTCCGGCCTAGTCACAGTGAGATAATTGAGCTTCCCAATCAACCTCCGATAACGTCCAGGATCAGATAATGGTTCTCCTTGTCCGGGTAGTAATTTGATAGTAGGATCCATGGGTATGTCAACTGGCTTACACGCCAACATACCAATCTCTTCTAGGATATCCAAGGCATACTTCCTTTGACAGATAGAAATGCCCTGTCTAGATTGTGCTACCTCAATTCCCAAGAAGTAACGCAGCTTCCCGAGGTCCTTTGTCTGAAATTGACTGAATAAATACTGTTTTAGCTGACAAATTCCAGCTTGATCACTCCCGGTGAGGATGACGTCATCAACATAGACTAACAAATAGATGCACTTATCAGGAGATGTGATCCTATAAAACACAGAGTGGTCAACTTTACTGCGAATTAAGCCAAACTCCTGAACAGCAGAACTGAAGCGACTGAACCATGCCCGAGGAGACTGCTTGAGACCATATAAGGATTTGCGAAGACGACACACCTTCCCAGACTCCCCCTAAGCAACAAAACCCGGTGGTTGCTCCATATAAACTTCTTCTTGTAAATCACCATGAAGAAAGGCATTTTTGATGTCAAGTTGAAGGAGTGGCCAGTGACGAATAGCAGCAAGAGCAAGAAATAGGCGAACTGACGCCATCTTAGCGACCGGAGAGAATGTATCGCTATAATCAAGGCCGAATATTTGAGTAAAACCCTTTGCAACTAGGCGGGCCTTGAGTCGATCAACATGGCCATCAGGTCCAACTTTCACAGTAAACACCCAGCGACAACCAACTGTAGACTTCTCTGGAGGAGCAGAAACAAGGTCCCAAGTGCCATTGGAATGAAGTGCAGTCATCTCATCAAGCATCGCTTGGCGCCACCCTGGATGGGAAAGTGCTTCACCTGTGGTCTTAGAAATAGAAATAGAAGAAAGACTAGAAACAAAGGTGAAATGAGGTGAAGAAAGACGGTCATAGCTCAAAAAAGTATAAAGAGGTTACGAGTAGTACGTGTACCTTTTCTTTGAGCAATGGGAAGAGCCTCTGGTGAAGGATCCGGAGAGGAAGAAGCAACAGCAGTGGGCGATGAGTCAGCAAGAGTCGAGTCGACAGGAGGCACAGTTTTGCGACGCTGATAAGTGAGAAGTGGACGGTCCTCAGGTATAGAAGCAATAGGTTGCTCATTTGGAATAGAAGCACGTGCAGCTGGCAAAGACAAGTCAAGAAAAGGGACAGGAAGAACATGATCAACCTGTGACAACTGAGATGGAATAGAATTAAAGGGTTGTTGATCAAGAAAAATGACATCAACGGAAACTAAGTAACGCTTAAGATCGGGAGAATAACAACGATAACCCTTTTGAAGACGAGAATAACCAAGAAAGATACACTGAAAGGCTTTGGATGTTAACTTGTCCTTACCAGGAGTGAGATCATGAACAAAACAAGTACAACCAAAGACATGTTGAGTTAGAGGATAAAGAGGAACATCTGGAAGCAATAGGTTATGAGGAATGTCATTGTTTAGCACAGATGAGGGCATGCGATTGATGAGAAAACAAGAGATGAGTACAGCATCTGCCCAGAAGTGAAGGGGAACCTGCATATGAAGAAGAAGGGTACGTGCAGTTTCAATGAGATGTCTGTTTTTACGTTCAGCCACCCCATTTTGTTGTGGAGTGTGAGGACAAGTAGTTTCATGTAAAGTACCTTGTGTGGCCAAGAAATTAGAAAAATCAATAGAAACATATTCCTTAGCATTATCACTACGTAGAATACGAATAGAAACACCAAATTGAGTATGAATCTCAGTATAAAACTTTTAATAAATGGAAAATAACTCAGAACGATTTTTCATTAAATAGATCCAAGTGCAACGGGAAAAATCATCAATAAAGGTAACGAAATACCGAAAACCTAAAACAGACAAGGTACGACTTGGACCCCAGATATCTGAATGAACAAGAGAGAAAGGGGCATCAGCTCGTTTATTGACTCGACTGGCAAAAGAGGAACGTGTATGCTTCCCTTGTTGACATGACACACAATCTAAAGACTGAAGACCGGATAAAAGAGGAACCATTTTCTGCAACTTTGTAAGACTTGGATGACCGAGGCGACTGTGGATAAGTTGTGGAGATTCTGTGAAAGAGAGTGCCACTGAAGGACGAGGCACATCCAGATAGTAAAGCCCCTGTGACTCACGACCCACTCCAATCATTTCCCCCGTACCCGGATCCTGCACAGAAACAGAATGGTTAGAGAAAGTAATGGTGCAAGTGAGGGAGTGGATCAACTTACTAATAGAAATTAAGTTATAAGAGATGCCAGGAATGTAATAAACAGATGTCAAGGCCAAGGTAGAGGTCGGACGAGCTTGTCCAATCCCACGAACTGGGGCTTTGGTTCCATCCGCAAGGGAAAAAGAAGGTAAATGATCAGAATAAGTAAAAGATGTAAAGAGTTCCTTGTTACCACAAAGATGATCGGTAGCACCTGAGTCAAATATCCAAGTGCCAAGTGATGTAGAATGAGAAACACAAGCAACAGGATTACCAGTATATGGTTGAGACTGAGGAGAAGCCTTCTTGAGAAGAGTTTGGAGTGCAGCATAGTCCGCAAGTGAGAGAAAAACTAAACCAAGTGATGTATTGTCTGACTGAGCTATATTCGCAGCAAGAGAGGTAGAATCCTTCAGTTTGGAAGATGTAATGGGCCCAATATTAGTAGAGATGATTCCTGAGGAAGTTTTGACAAGAGGACAAGGAGAGTTAACCTCCGAGAGATCAGTGGACGCTGCTGCCATTTAAAAACAGAATATAAAAGTCGTAAACGAAGGCAAACGATATCCAATCAAGGAGAACCACGCGTCTAAAGTGAGACCCACAAAGAACCAAGCACAGATCCAGAAAGAGGAGAAGAAGGCGAGAAGTTTTGTCCAAGAACGGCCGGAAAAAGTCGCCGGAATAGTGCTCACGCGCCGGCAAAAGATGGCGCGTGAAGCCCACGCGCAGAGAAGACAGGAGGCGCGTGACAACTCCGATGGTGGCCGGACTTCCACAGAGCAGGTCGCCGGGAGGAGAGGGTGCTGTTCGCGTTCGTTCCAGACTGAAATCTCGCCGGAAAAGTACTCTGGCAGCCTGAACAGTGGCTGACGGTGGCTCCGGTGACTGTTTGGGGATGTGGACACGTGCAGGAGAGGACTTACAGTCCTTGATGACTTCCCGGAAGGACGCACGGCAAAGAAAAGATGACTCCTAAGCAGTGGGCTTAGGTTTTAAAGCGAAGAACAAGATTTCTAAGCGGAAGCGAGGGTTCCCAGAACGAAATAGCTCTGATACCAACTTGAGATTAAAGAATAATTGTAGATTGAATAATCACATGGTGTATTACAATGTACAAGAGCTCTCTATTTAAAGAGACTAAAAGACCTAATAGGTTGAGCTCATACGATGTGGGACTATATATATACTGAACTATTTTTACAACTATTCTAACAACAACAATAGAATCATAATCTACTTATAACCTTGGTTCAGTCTTCTTTGAGTAAGGAATTGCAGCATCTATCCCAACACACCGTAAATGTTTTGCCAAGCCTTCAACCTGAGTAATTCCTTAACAGATTCATGCTCACATTTTTATTTTATAAATACACAATTAGTCACATACTACATTACAATAAAATCCCTTTGTTTTAGGATATAACATTTCAATAAAATATTTCAGAAAACAGAAGTCCAGGAAAGTGGTGCCAATGACTATTGGCACGGATAATGATGAAAATATAATTTGTGCTCCAGAGTTCAGAGGCAATTGGAATTTAACTATATATGCAATAAACCAGTGGCTAAACCTCCTAAAATTGAAGAAAGGGAAATCAGATGTTCATCATTTAAAATGCTTACCATTACATCACAAAGGAACTTTGGATGTCCATCTCCCCCCACTGATGGATCCCAAGGTGAGCTCCCTTGCCACTCATCAAACTTCTCTAAATGATTTTCTTTGCAAATCCCATTAATTGGTGGATGCTTTTTCCCTTTCTTTTTTGGGGTCTTGGTCTTTCTGTCTGACTCCTTTAGCGAAATCCTATCACCATATTTTTTCACAACATTCAACAAAAATTCTTCCATTGGCAACGTAACCCTACATGATTTTTGGATCGTTCCGCATGCTGAAAGTATCACCTGAGCAACATCAGAACAACTAGCAGCTTGGACAATTGCTGAAGCAGCACAAAATTGTGTTCTTAAGACTTTATCACTCATATCATGCTTCTGGAAAAGCTCTTTCAACCCAAGATTTGCATTATTATGAGACAGTTCAGTTGTCTTGAGAACCAAATCTCCTACAATGAGGAATTCAACAAAATGAATTGACCAAAAATTCTCTGTATAAAGCCTCAGTGTATGGATAGAAAACAAATCAAAATTTTCAGAGGAAAGACTATAGACGGGAATGAATGAATATATCATGCGATCTGAAATCAAGATAAAAATATATACAGAAAAAGTTCTATATTTATCCAATTTGCTGCACTTACATGAGGTTTATCTATGTGTATGCATGAGTAAGAAATGAAAGCTACTATATGAAGTTGCAGGCTTATTCGAATTTGGAACTGCATATCTTGGGTCAAATATTAATATGAATTTGATCTTTTATTGTATCAATGACTTAACAAGTAATACGACATATTAAGATGCATAAGACAGAGTTCGCATATAAACTCTCGAAAAATCAATTTATCTTCCATGTTCCATCTATTTTTGGTATTTCTATGCCATTTTATTTTAACAAACCATTATCTCAAAATAAAAAATTGACATGACTGTTTCCATCAAAGTTGTTAATCCTGGATATTAGGGTGGAGCAGCCAATCCCAAATTTTCAATAGCAGATAGCAGGATGACAGCTATACTGAAGATTATAGATATAAGTTAAATAATTTTTACTACACATACACAAATGCTCAAAATATAAAAAACTACCCACAATTAAAGATATCTTATATACATAATGAGCATTACAAACCTTCTTTGGCAACCTCTACCCGGAAGACCTTAAATATTTCAAGCAAGCAATGAGCATCCATAGCTGCATATGTTATCTGCTCTTCTGTAAGAGGACGACATGACCAATCACTACATTGGAGTTCCTAATGCAGATACAAGTTTGGTTAACACCTTATAGTAATTGAAAAATTCCATTTGGACTAAATCTGGAACTTCAAATTCTAAGGGAGCAAAACGCATCCTTGAGCGAACAAGAGGTTCCCATTCATGTCGTATTACAGACATCCTGTTTCTATTAAAAGAAATATATACAGTAGTATCTTCCTATTGTATTAAGCTCAATCCTATTTTTTCTTTTTGAGAACTCAACAAACATAACTATATGTAACTTGTAATATTTGTTTTGTGATCAAACAAATATCTTCAGAAATCATTTTGCAAAGCTAAGATATTCTGATTCTGATTGTTATAATCCTGCAAATAGGAAAGCAAACCAGTTTTTTAATTAGAAAGCATATAAAAAACAATCTAAAAGCCCTAATTTATGACGTACCTATCACTTCTAACCAAAGAAAACCTACTAAAGATTAGTTCCGGCACAATTTAAACCTGTCCACTGATGGGTAAAATTAATATTCTTTGGCTGATCATCATTCTGAAATTGACGATTACAACTAAATCCATCTACTCAGCAATGGGATATTTTCGATTGAGAGTGAAAATTTGAGTAAGCTTATGAAACAAACCTTTGAGAGTGAAAACCCCAACACTTCTCCACATATAGTTGACAAACTCTTACTTTGCTTCGACGCATTCCTTCCGTGTTTCTTGAGCTGCAGATGATTGTACACACTCGTGATATCCAAATACGGCTCAACCTATCCACAAGAGGCGTGAGCATAATTTTTCTCGGGAAAATTTTGATTTACTCAGAAAAATATGAAATCTTATTTTCCTGCATTTTATACAATCCGCTTCTAGTTCTCTCACCTTGTCGAAACCGGGATCGCAGCCCTGGGAACAGAAAGTGGAAGACAAGTATATCAAATCCTGCTTGAACCTGAATCCGAGTTTCAGGATATCGGGAGACACGAGCATTTCTCGCAGCGGTTCCCATAGCGAAGACAGAGGAAGGGAGAACAAGTCCAGCAGAAAAACCGCCGAGTCTTCTTCCGAGTCGCCGCCGAGTTGGCACGCGATTTGGAGGAGCGAAACTGTGGGGAACGACGTTTGATGAGTTCGGACGGGTTTCCACTCGGCGTCGAGACCAACGAGTGATGTCCGAGTCAAGGCCTGACTCAGGAGAGTGAACTCGGACGAATCGGTGGAGGAAACTAGGTGGACTTTGAGAGGCTTATGGTTTTGGGGATCCATGCGATGAGGGAAGTTCAACAACTGGATTGAGAGGTTAGGGCATGCTACCAAGTGAAAATAACATTTATTTTAGCTTAGTTCTTCTGCGTTTTAGACTTTAATTTTATGTTTTTACATTACTTCCATGTTTGAGTTATTTTTAATGTTTATTTCAATTTCATTTTATGATAAGGACTTTTAAAAATAAGGACTTTTTATGATAAACTTTTTTTAAAAGCCAATATTATTTTTCGCTTGGATGTAATATTTAAGAAGTACTTTTAAGTATAAATGTCATTTGAATGTTAAAACATAAAAGCACTTTTTAATTACAAAATGACTATTGTACCCTTCACTCAATTTCAATGGTATCCTCCTCTCCTCAACTGACCGACAACTCTGATGCCGAGAGAAGTGCCTCTGCAATGCCATCGAAGAGCTTCAGTGTCGTGCTGTTGCTCACACCCACCACCACAACCTCGACTCCCTTCCTTGCAATCACGGCTCTGACAAGTCTGGCGTTGCCCACGCCATTGGTTCATTCTTTCGCTGAATTTTCTCTCTCCTTTTTCACGAATTCATTCTTGTTTGTAAAATCTATCTGCATCTCACGTTCATGTCCTCTTAATTGTTCAATCATTCCATTGTTTCATATTAATTTGGGACTGATTAATTTCTTGTCATAAGATGTAATCTGATTTGGGAAAAAGCTCATCCAAACTTGGGGTCTGTCTCTACCTTCTTTCTTTTTAGGCTTCTTCACTCATAAGTAAGTTGCTCCTTCTTCCACAGTAAGCAAAGATCCGAACTTGCAGATGGAAAATGGCAAGGAAGGAGAAATGTCAGAGGAGCTGAGGTCCAATCTGTCCACGAGGCTTTGCTACTTGCTTTTGGCTTCTACTTTTTCAAGAAGTCAGGAATTTTAGCTTTTGAAAAAAGTTAAATTTTAACTTTTTCATCAACTTATGCTTTTTTTTATGTTACCATCCAAACACGGTCAAAATTTTAAAAGCACATTTTTTTTTTTAAAAAAAAGCAACTTCTCACTACGGAGAAGCCCATCCAAACGAAGGCTTAGTCAAGCTAAAATGGTTTATGAGATGATTGTTTTTGTGTCACATTGCCACTTCAGCTTGAAAGGCATTTTTCAATTAAACCTTTAATTTTATTACTCTTTTTTTCTTTTTTTGGATAGTTTATTACTCAAGTTTTACATATAATACAAGTTTAAAAAGCTTGTTAAAAGACTCAATGCAGAGACTTAACAGGTATCCATGCGACGAGGGAAGGTCTACTTGTTAATTTTTTTTTTAGTACATTAAACAAAAAGCCTAACAACCATGAACCAAGGCCAAAAGCGGCCCAATCTCCAGCGGGGGATCCTTTAAAATAATCATATTCTCCTCTCTTGTGATGTTATTTTTCGCTAGGAAATCAGCGCATTTGTTCCCACCCATGTTCACATGAGTGACCCTGAGATGCCAATCCTCTTTTCTCCATTCTTTGATGCTCTTTACTAACTGAGTTTGAATGCCTTCTCCATCGATTGAATTGATAGCCTCTATAGCTAAGGCAGAATCGCTTTCCACGATTAAGTGATGAGCTTCTTCCTCCCAGGCAAGTTTTAGACCTTTAAGAATAGCCCATAACTCAACTACTAACGGGGAGCAGCTTCCAATCCAATAAGAGAAGCCAGACACCCACCCCCATCCTCTTTTATGATCAACCCTCCACGCGAAGCTTCCCTATGATTGTTCTTGACAGCTCTATCGACGTTTAGGTTCCACCATCCTGGTGGAGGAGGGCTCCACCTTTTGATGGTCTCACCCGTGGGCTGACTAAGGGTAGGCGAGTTGTTATCCAAGGCGGTGTTCACCTCGCTAATGTACCTAGAAATAACCAGGATTGGGTTATGAGGACGACTTTCGTTAGGGTTATGAATCTCCATATTTCTCCAAAGCCACAAATGCCAAATAGACGTAAAAAAAAATGTCGACCCAATTAAAGATGGACATGTAATTCCACCCTCCCTCCAAATTCTTCATTAGCCACTCCTCCAGGTTCAACGTGTGGAAGTGTCGTGGGACATTGTTCTTAAACCAGTCTTTCCACACCTGCATCGCATGTGGCCAGTCCCTCAAAACACGGATAGTGTCTTCGAGCGTATTGGTGCACTTGTGACAGTGGGCATTTCCATCCCACATAGCAGTTCTATCCTTCGTGAGAACTTTGTTATGGAATACAAACCACGCAAAGGTTCTCACTCCAAGCGGACCATGCCAATTTCATATCGATTTCCATTTCCTATTGGTGGCTAAGTATTCGAATCCCATACTTGTTAATTGTTATTTGCATATTCCTTGTTTCTAAAAAGAAATTATTATTATTATTATTTTGAAAATACGTAAATTATTCCAAATAACATAACCTTATATTATTTTAAATTAAAACAACCTTATTTTGATATATATATATATATATATATATATATATATATATATATTGATTGATTTTTTTACATTCTTTCTCCTTTGTAAGGCTTTCTCTTTAATTCTCCTCTTCTGTTACTCTTCTATTATTCCATAGATATGTTAGGGAAACAGTCGACATAAACGGCCTTATTCTAGTAAACCTTAATTGCAACATGGATGTCTCAATTTTCAGCCCAATCCCAACGAACTTGATAGTTGTTAGATCTCAGGGAGGCACTACTCGTAATAAGGTTCGATGTAGAAGGAGACAATAACAAGCCACTAGGTTTGATCCACTGACGAGAAATTTGAATAATTTATATGAGATTACATGTGAACACCCACTTATATATATAAAAAATAATGATAACATATAAAAAAAAATCGATAATCAATTTTATCGCCTTAAACATTTCAAATACAGAAACAAAGAGGAGATTCAAAATTGACTGCAATTTTGGTTACTATAACAAAGCGCATTTTTAATACTACCCTCGTACTAATCACTGAGTGCAACATGATATTTATACTATGTATTACCAATAACATGTGTAGAGTACAAAAATTGCTTTTTTATTTCTCTCTCCAAAATAATAATAATTGACATGGCACGTTTTTATTGATCCTTATACCTAAACCCCTAATACCCTAGATTTTCCGTCTATAACATTGGGAAGCGGAAATCGCGAAGAAAGGCAGTTAGGCATGGATTGATAACCTAGCATACTACGAATCATTAAAAAACCTAAGATAATGTTCAAAAATTTGTCTTAAATTTTTCTCTTCTCGGAGAGAATGATGTTGGTGAAATTACTTGAACCCATGAATGTTTAACACACGGGCAAATTAAATTGTCCTAAGTAACACTTTAACTCCTCAACATCCACGGTCTGTTTGGTGTGATGTATAAAATTTGATAATATAAGCTTATACTATACGTTATGATATTTTCAGTTGTTTAGTGTGACCATCGTACAATATAAACTTATACAACAAAACTCCTTAATACATCAAAATGATGTAGAACTTAATCAGGCCCTTTAGGCTAATATATTCATATTGCTTACAAGTACAATTCTCAATAACTAATATATCATTTTAATATTAATATATTATTTATTTATTTTAATTATTAACTTTTAAAATATTAGAAGATATTATCTTATACAATACTATACCAAACGCTAGATAGTATTAAAATTTAATCAGATCTTATACTATCAGATCTTATCCTATACTATACACTGCACCAAACATACCTCCAATTTGATTTCGTATTAGTGTATTGATGCTAAACACCTTTATCGTATCAGCAATTTTCATTTCAGTGAACAACTAAGTTTGACTAGCTCATTGAGAACTGCTCATATTATTAGTATTTTTATTTGAGCCTTAGCTTGCATGTCCCCAATAATTATAACTTTCCAGTCATTTATGTTTGTACTTATGCATGTTCGATATGATTTTCTGGACTATATATATATATATATATATATATATATACCGAAAACTATTAAACAAATGTACGGTCTAAGTTATTCTAAGACTGCTCATTCTTAGTCATTAAATCCCTATTTAATTGTTGGCATAATTAATAAATTACGGTTCGTTAAATATAAGCCGGATCAAAAAAATGGATGTGTAACTTACAATGGAATATATTGATCCTTTACCATATATGAAATCAAAGCCCAAGTGACGACAAATAAAAACAATTATCTGAAAAGCTTTAAAAATTATCATACCCGAAAAATATTAACCAAATATATGAAATCAAAGCCGCAATGAGAACAAATAATGTCTCAGATAGTATAAAACTCGTGACAGTATTTTTTTCAAAAAAAATAAAGAAATGAAGCAGTACCAGTGATTCAGAATGTACAGATAATTAAATAACCATCCAAGACAGTGAAGATTAATTTATAATTCTACTCAACTTCCATAGGAGAATTTTCTTTGTCCAAGAAGCTCTTTAGTTCCTTTACTCTCTGCCTGGTCAATGCGACACAGTCCTGAAACCACAGCAATCGTTAATAACTTCTATCTATATAATTCCCATCCATCATATATGTCCCATCAGTTTCACGCCCTTCAGGAAATGATTCACAGAAGGTATATGATAATAATCTTCCCTTTTTTGGGATATTTACACTAATTTAATTTCCATCATAAACCTTCTTGGTCATAAATTTAAAACTCAAACAAACATCTACAATGAATGAACATTTAAGAAAAGATTGGATCAGAAAACCCTAGTCCAAATTAAACATTGGAAGGTTATTTTGATAAAAAAAAATAAGAGTGAACCCCAATCCCAGACAGAAGCAAGCCTTAATATGGTCTCGCTAAGGATATCAGTTGTGGCACTCAAAAGTTTCAGAGGACATCAGATCTCTTGTATTCATTTAACTTTACAGGACTGACAAAAATTTCAATGATATTTAAAGTATTTTTTTTACAAAATTACTCAGTATTGCATCAGCATGCTGACCCAAAATGAGATGTGATTAATGTTAATGCTATAACTGTGATATGGTTCACTTCGTTAGTCCCACTGCAATGTGTAAACTAACCTGGATACCAGAAGTAGAGGCAAGAAATGGCCCACCAGGCTTGTAAAGAGATATTAATTGACCAGATGTATCCAAAACTATCGTCACAAGGGTTTCCATAATGGATTCTTCTTCAGCAGTAGGATCTGCCAAGATGTAATTCTTGTGAAGTACGCATGTTAATGATAATGGAATACTTCTTAAAGTAAGCTTCCTCTTCTCCTTATTAACAGACTCCTGGGCCTGCTTTTGTCCATTTTCTTCAGACATGAGTACTATTTTGCCATCATCATTCATGGCAACAGCAGGAATTTGCACTGTCAACACGGAAATTTATAAAAGACAAAACCAATATGGTAATACCACAGCAATTTTAAAACAGCAGCTCACAAAAAGAACATCAACGGCAATACATATATTCTCTTCAGCATAAAATCAGATATGTCAACGATAAAAAGGAATTCAATCTTCAAGGTTTCAACAGTACAAGTGGAATCATTACTTGGTAGTATATTGAATAATAAGAAAAACGCAACCAGATTCAGTATATAATTATGAAGAAAGCAAGATTTTAGGAAGAAAACTTCGTAACAAACTTCTCAAAATTAGATGGTTAAAAGCCATCCAAAGTTTTTAGACCATCAAATCACCACACTATAAAAATGGCCTTGTTCCAATTATTTTAGTGGGCTTGATAATTCCTTATACCCCATGACTAACGATGAAGATTAAAATTCTTGGGGTTCAAGAATCAACGGTTACATGTGCTATACAAAGTTCAAAAAACTACAAACAAAGAAGTCATTGCACCTTAAAATGAAATAAAACATATTCACATCCCATGCTAAGTGTATCCCATTCAAAAACAATTGGCTCAATTCAGGAAAAGCAACTGTAGGAGGTAGTCATTGACTCACACCTCATATTCTTATTGAGATCTCCCAAGTGGCAGGTATTTGTCAAGATTGCCATACATTTGTTTATATGTTATGTAAAGAAGCAACCGATAAAGTGGGCAAGTATTATTTTACAGTGCTTTATAGGCAAGAATAGTGTATCTTCAGAATGGTTAATAAAATGACTGAATAATACTAAAGATGCACTACTTACAATGTGATAGGGCAGCAACTGCAGAAAGTAAAGCAGCATCAAAAAGAGCACCATCAGCATCCAAACAATAGACATCCTGCATAATAAAGAAGGCAGCTGATGGAAGATCTTTTATAGTAAGAAATAAGAATTTATACTAGGAAGGGACGCAAAGGGTTGGACTCCTCCCAGCAGGTCAATCATGCGTAAATCACCATGTAGAAATGTGAATGCAGTTACTAATAAGAAGTTCTATGCAGTTATTGTGCAGTTACTGTAGTGTAGTTGATAATTGCAGCTATATAGGAGTATAAAGTTGTAAGAATGACCAGAAAGAAGGCAGTTTTTAGACAGATAGTAAGTGTGTAAGTGGGAGAGACCAGTAGCCTCTCATGCTCTGGATGATGTCACTTATTAATTATCCTTGTATTTCATGTATTTTCTGTAAGAATATCACCATTTCAGATATTTCCTTCAGAATAGCTATCTGTATCTTCTCTCCTAACAGCAGCATTATGTCATTTAACAGATAGAAAACTACACAATCAAAGCAAACAAAGATAGGGCACATCACACAAGAGTTGGAGTACTATGCATTCTTTCTATGGTTGATATGTGAAAGTTGATAAATGCAGTCCACATAAAAGCTTACCAAGTAAGCCATCCATGCAGCTTTTCCATTGACCAAGGACAATTCTTTCAAATCAATCATTCCAGAACTGCAAAAGAATAGACAAATAAAGGTCATTAAGAAAAAAGATAGGCTAGTTTCAACATGAACACAATTTGACAGATCAAAAGAGCACTCCAGATTATTGATCATCACAAAGGTAACCATAGACCCATATTAATACAAATAAAAGTCCATGAAGACAGCAGGTGGGGAAAGAAATCACCATAGAAAGAATTTACAATCGAGGAGAAAATATTATCTGATCCACTAACCACCTTAAACAGTAGACTTTCAGCTAAAAGTTCATACACTCTAGTGGTCAAAACTAAGATCAATAATTCTATGTAGTTTACAGTAAAAATGCATCAAAAGAAGTGCAAAGGAGGGAGGCATGATCACTTATGCACATTCTCATAAAATAGGAAACATTAGCTTCAAGTATAAATGCATACGCAAGGCAAAGGTGGGTAGTGTTACGACCTGTAGTTAGGGGCATTTAGTATTGCCCAAGATAGATAGTCACTGTCATGTAAAGGTAGTTAGACCTGTTAGTTACGTAGTTAGATGGTTATGGGCTTTTGAGAGCAGCTTAGATACTATATAAGGGAGATAGCCCTCCTTTAGGGGAAGCTTTTGACAAATATTGAGTTAGGCTGAAGAGTGCTCAGTTGGAGGGGAATGCCCCTTGGCAAGAGAAGTGTCTCTTGAGTGTACATTCCATTTTCTTGTCAATAAACAGATTTTTTCCTTCCATTTCCATTCTTTTCTTTCATTCTTCATTTCTATAATTTCAATTCCTATCCCTAAACCACCAGAGCCATAACAGGTAGAGTGGCTTTCGTAGAGTTCATAGAAACAAAGTATGCACAGATATGAACAACATTTTCCTTAATATCTAATAGTTAAACATACAAAATTCCCCCTTTTATTTTCATCTTTTTCTCCTGCTTCCTTTTTATTTATTAATTTATTTTGTAGTAAAAAAAAGGTAGGTGGGAGTGACTTAAGTAGAGTTAGCACTTCTCTCATCATCTCAAATAATTGAAACTAACAAAGTGACAGTAAAAATTAAAACTTGCCTTAAAATAGTGTCAGACAACTGCTTTGACACAACTGGTGATGCTTCAGCAGGCCTGCCGGGCCTAACAATTGGAGAACAAATCGGAGGCATGTGGAAATCGATAGCTGAAATAATAGGACTTAATATGTTAAAATCTCATGGCATATGTGAGCAGGACTAAATAACTAATACACAAATGGCATAGCTGGTGATAGCCAACCTATACAGCCCTCGTCTGGTGACTCCAAGGAGGGAGTCATAACTTCCATTTTAATAGCAGTCAACATAGTCTGAGCAAAGAACACACAATGAAGTCATTAAATATATTCAATAATACAGTCAAGAACCCAAGGTGCACAAAAGTAGACAGTGGTAGAGTAACTAACAGTTGATCCAATCTTTGTAAGAGCTGACCCATTAGCAGATGCAACAGCACCTGATCAAAAGAGTTAACCACGTCAATTTTGCTCCTAGTGTAAATAACACACAATATAGCAAGGATTTCACGGATTGTAAATAAGTAAAAAAGCAACTAACCAAGAAATATACTCGTATCTCTAGCTTTCCCGAGAGGTCTACCATCAGGGCGTATAGATTCAGCAAGATGACGCTCAAAAAATTGAAGTGGGAAAAGGCGTCTAAAGGCATCAACCTCCATTTCTGATGACAAGTCCTTGGAAGCATTTGAAAACTCCATCCTCTTTAGATATTCTATCAAGAAAATGAAAGCCAAAAGTGAAATAAGAAATGAAAAAGTAATATTAGTTGCCATAAAATTGAAAATAGTATTCAGTCAAGTACATAGAAAATCAATCTTATGGAAATCAAATTTTGTAGCATTTTATCCTCTCCAATAAGTTTTCCAAGCGAATGAGAAAAGAAAAACCCTATGAAATTATTTCTTAATTTTCTTTTGTTCTTTCTTTCTTCATTTCTTTTCTTTTTTTTCTTTTCTTCTGAGGAGACAAAAACCCAAATTGTATGTTCAAATAATTTTAAAAATACATATTATTGAAGTACAATACAACTTTAGACAGTATAAAAGAACTCAATAACTTAGTTTATGTTATTAAAAATATCACAATAGAGACTAAAATAGTGTCCCAAGTTTGTTTACCTAGTTTAGAGAGCGAGCAATATTGCTGAATTATACAAAGCAACAAACCTTACTTGTTTCATACTTGATACAAGCAGAGTACTAGACCCGACTATAGCATCCTACAACTAGCCAATTAAGTCATATAAACAGCATATGTACTCTGACCTGTCACAACAAACCCAGAGGGCCGTTGTGAAGAGAGGCATGAAAAAATTTAAAAACTTATAATAAGAGAGAGTCACCACCAATTTTTTTAGGGAAACAATTGAAAAACCTATTTTTATAGTGATAAGAGTTTTGATTTGGGAGTCTAATTACACATAGGGAAGAGTGGAAACTTATTCCCACTAGTTATGCAATTCATTATTAGTCTCAAAAATATTAATTTTACCCCTTAAAGTAAAGAGTCTTCGAAACAAATAAATGGATTAAATGGAAATATTTACAATTTTTTGGAATGGAAATAGATAAATTCTTGGGAAGCATGTAATGAGATTGCAAAATGGAAATATGTGAAGACATGAAACAATACAATAAAAAACTAAAAAAGAATGGAATTTGATGATTAAACAAGGATGATAAAAACAGGATATAAAGATAACACCTAAGTGATACTGAATGAAGCTATACCAATAACTTTATTAAAAGAAACCTTCTTTCATGATGCAATACTCTCTATTTCTTTATCAGACATGGTAATAATAAAAACTGACCTAGAATACTCATTCAAATTTGCAAACAAAATATATTTAGGAGTTTAGGGGAGGATGTTACATTATGCAAACAGTAACACGTTTGAAAAGGATTAGCACTACCATAAACTCCTTGCAAATCAACAATATGAAGAAAATTTGACAGTAAAACCTGACATGTGAAGAACTTTTCTTATATTTTCATAGTCTACTTCAAAATCAGATTGCTAAAAAGACCTCGTCAGTTTAAAAAATCAAAATAAGTATCGATAATAATAAGCTCAAACTAATCCTTGTTTGTGTTAAAATATGAGTTAAAAATGAAAAAGTTTCAAACTTTAAGATGAACTTCAAAAACATACAAAACCTCAAAACTTAAAGGTATTCCACACGGGGTTTCAAGCTAACCCTATCCTGACGGGGTTATCTCTTAGGGAAGCAAAGGTAATGATTCAAAAGCTTTAGTGGTGTGTTCTATAGTGGACAAGCAGAAATTACATGTTACTTAAAAAAAACACTCCCCATTAAACCCCGACTAATGAGGGTTGCGTGACGTCAATCCTTATACATAGTCTTACACTTGCATATTTGCAAAAAAGCTGTTTCGTGAATTCAAACTTGTGACTTTCACTCTACCATATATATACAATAAGGGGAAGTACACAGAACACATAACCCACAAAAAGATACACAAAGTAAACATATACAAAATCCAAAACTAAATTATAAATAAGCACAAAAATGGGGATAAAAACAGGCAAAGATAACAGACAAATAAGGATTTCTTTTTTCTACAAATTAAATGGGATTAGAGTTCTCAAAGCAATCAAAACAAAAATACAAGGATAGCTAACCTTGGGAACGATCCTATTTTTGTTCAATGATCACCTGCAAAGTTAAGAGAGGGTCACTTAAACAAGGAATCAGAACATGAAATCCAAATAAAACATAGCAAACAGAAAAGCAATGGAATGAAACATCATGAGCACAAATAGGATCACAAGTAACAAAAATGAGAAAATGAAGATAACAATTAAGAACATCAAAGACAGAATCAAAGGCGTAGAATAACACTGTATGAGAAAAGTTTACATATAAGAAACCATATAAAAAATAACAAAAACGGGGGGACTAAACAATTAGTGGCAAATCACTAAAATCTTTTAGAAATCATATGCTAATAACGATTACAAATAGAATATGAAAGATGCAATTTATATTATTCACCATCATAAGATTTTTATAATAAAAGAAAGAAAAAACGAACCCAAAAAATGAATCAGAGCGAAACAACGAAAAATACAGCTGTAGAGTTGTATATACAACATTTTAAATATATTGAATGAATTTATTTATTTTACTTTTTTAAAAAAAAGTTCTCAACATAGATGAAATACAAAACAAACCGTGAAGACCAATTGGCAATGACCTTAGTTATGGAAGAACATAAGTGCAGCAATGTTGAGGAAGCGACGACTGAGACAGCGAAATAGACAGGAAGATGCAAATGATGTAGGAATGGGAGGAACAGAGTTCTACGCTTCACTATGCATAAGACAATAGAAGCGAGGAAGGAGGAACGTCAAAAAGGGGTTAATTAAACCCTACCCGTTGCAGCTTTGCTTATAGCAAGTAGAAGAAGAATAGACAACACACAAATATTATAATAAATCTTGGGTTATTTTAATCGTGGAAAGATATTCTTACTACCAAAATTTTTCATTATCAACTTATTATGTATCTAATTCCATTGGATTAGTATTTTCTCTATCTTCAAAAACATTTTAGCATTCTCTCTCTTTGATCCAATGGTGATTAGATGAGTAGTAAGTTAGTAGTAACAAATTTTAGTAGTAAAAATATCCTCCCTCATTTTCATTGTATCACAAAATTTATAGTTTTGTTCCTTCACACATTCGACATTTAACAACTCAATCATTTGTATCACTAGTGTTCTAATGTTTTTTTTTAAGCATTTTTTAATATTTATGTTGCACCTACATGGCACACGGGATATGACACTTCGATATAATACGTTTTGATATTAAATAATATTTTTAATTTTTTTAATGTATATTATATTTAATATTCAATAATTTAACAAAAAATAAAGCTAAGCTTATAATACCCATTACTTTTGGAAAGAAACATAATATCTCAAATATTTATATTAAACTTAATAAAATGATAATCGTAATCCAACGAATCTAATAGTTGGAATTCAAAGTGCAAAACAATGCAACTTTTAAACCCTTTTTTGAGTATTTGCAATGAGTATTAGAGTGGCGAAAAGTGTCGACACGACATGTCAAAGTTTTTGAAGTATCGATGCTTCGTATCTTAACATGTATGATAACAACACAAAAAATTATTCTTGTTATAATATTTCATTTATGGCTTTAATGTTTCTAAAGTGAATGTAGATAAGCTATCTACATTCGCTCCCAAAACGACATCGTTTTGGATTGAAAAATTAAAAAATTATAATAAAAAAGACTATTATAAACCTGAAATAAATTATAATTACAAAAATACATTAATTTCAGCCTCAAAACGACGTCGTTTTGAGTTCAATGTAGATAAGTTATCTACATTGACTATAGAAAAAGCGAACCCTTCATTTATATTTAATATGTGCAACCCTTTAATAAAAAAAGTTTTAATGTTTCTAAAGGGAATGTAGATAAGTTATTTACATTCGCTCCCAAAATGACGTCTTTTTGGGTTAAAAAATTATGATAAAAAAGACTATTATAACCCTGAAATAAATTATAATTACAAAAATACTTTGATTTCTACCTCAAAACGACGTCGTTTTGGGCCCAGTTATCAACATTAACTGTAGAAAAAGCGAACCCATAAAAAAAATGTAGTATATCGTTTACAAAAAAAAAAAAAGTTAGAATACGCAGTAAAAAGCAAAGAAAAATATTTCTGCTTTTTGTTGTAAAAAAAAAAATATTTCTATCACACTCACATAAAAATGAGTGAATCCCACAATTTTCTTTTATCTAATCTCTTTATAATGAGATTCGTTAACTATAAAAGATTTATACGAGGGTGGCAAAGAAAATTTTTTCTATAGAAAAAACAAAAATATTAAATCCTAAAAAGCGACTTGTAAGAATTAGTGAAAAGTTAATTATCAGGAAGGAAATTTTATAATTGATAAAAAAAAACAAAAAACATTAGTTGAGTAAAAAAACTATTTAATATATATTAGTAGTAATCCGAATAAAAAAAGAGAGAGTATTTAAAAGCAATACTAATTTCAATAATCAAAAAAATGTAAAATTAGAAAGAAACAATAACGTTACTAAATTAAAAAGAATGAATTCTCGTTTATCGACAAAAAGAAAGAATGAATTCTCTAATATTTTGATGTAACATGATCATACATCACAAGAGGGGAAATTTTTAATATATTCAAAGACCATCGTTGTTCTTCAATTCAAGAATTGACACATGTATTAAATTTTTTTTTTTTTTCTTTCTCTCATCTCAGTCCCATTCTATATTTTTTAGTCCCGGTGCACTGTATCTTCGCTCCACGAGAGGAGATCCCAATTATTTATAAATTTTAATGACAAAATGATGATTTTCCATGTGAGAAGATTTTTTTTTTCATTTCATAATGGCAGAAATCATTAACTGCAGCTTAATCATCATGATCAAGTTTTGGGCTTTTTTTCTTTAATGGAAAAGACAGTGATTTGTTATTAAAAATTATAAATAACTGAAATGCGGTGTTAAAAAAATATGAAAATACGAGAGGATGATTTCATCAAGGACATGTTAAAATAACAACAACGAAACAATAAAAAATAAAAAATGGCGCCATTCAAAACCCAATTTCCCGCGAAGCCAAATTAGCGCGCGAAAGAGTCTCTTATCTTCTTCTTCATACTTATATGTAATTGTTGCATCAGTTGCAACCACTCTCATGGTAATGGCTTCACTCCGTCGAAGAAGGACCCTAGCACCCAAATCTTCGAGTCTCGACGAAGATGACGTCAGCTGCGAGGAATGCGGATCCGGCTTCTCGCCGGCGAAGTTGCTTCTGTGCGACAAATGCGACCGCGGCTACCACCTCTTCTGTCTCAAACCCATCCTTTCTTCTGTCCCCAAAGGCCCCTGGTTCTGCCCCCCCTGTTCCAACAACAATAACAACCCTAAATGTATGTCCCTTCATTATTTTCCATTCCCTTTGTCTGTTCTATAATTAAAAATAAAATTTATTATTATTCTTATTAACTAATAATTACTTTGTTACAATGCAGCTTTTCCTCTTGTTCAGACCAAAATTATTGATTTCTTTCGAATTCAACGATCTTCCGTTAAACCCCAGATATCAAATCCAGGTAAAGTGAAATTTAGGGATGTGAGGGTTGAAATTAATCGAAGTGCAAATTTTTATTATCCTTTTTTTCTTTTTTGATATATATCTATTTAGGCACGCGGAAGAAGAGAAAGCGGGGTAGTAGCTTAGTGGTGTTGAAAAAGAAAAGGAAATTGTTTCCTTTCACCCCTATTGAAGATCCTAAAAGGAGATTAGAACAGATGGCATCACTTGCAACAGCGCTTACTGCAACTAAAACTGAATTCAGTAATGATCTTACTTACATGCTTGGAATGGCACCAAGGTCTGCTAATCGTCCTGCTCTTGAACATGGTGGAATGCAGGTGATTATTAACTCATGTTTTTGTTCCCAATAACACCAATTTGTGTACATTATATACTGAAATAATCTGTCACATTAAGGAATCTATGGTTACAGAAGCTTAGAGAAGAACTATCTATAAGGAATAGTATATTATAGAGTTTATTATAACCTTTGTTTTTTTATTTTATTTTGTTATTCTAAAGATTAGCAGCATAGAAATTGAGAAACTGAAGTTATTCGAGTATAGAAAATTACTTGAAAGAAAGAAAAATATATAAATTTGAGTTATAGAGTTTGTTTGCTTCCTTACACGTAGTAAAATAATTGTGATTTTGTTCCTCTCCCCTTTGTCAACATAAGGGGTGGTATGTTTTTTTAGTTCTCGCTGTCGCTTGTTTTGTTAGTAGACAAACAATACATTATAAAGTTTTGACTCATTGAACATGTCTTTTGTTCACCTTCGTGGAAATGGAACCTTAGAATGTTGTTTAGATCGAAAAAGTCAGTGCCACTTATTTTGAGTTATTGGTTGGTTATCTCAGAACACAAGCAAACATCTTTGGTTCCCCAGCTTATGCTTAATGTAGGACATTGTTCGACAATAAAGTAGGTGAAAACTATAACAGCAATAGACTAATAATAGTTGATGCATAGGGACAAAAGCAAATCATGCAACACTGTACAACATTAGTGGTGTGACTCCAAACTAGTGTGAAACTATATTCGTTAGTAAATACAACATTTTTGTTAAAATGCAGTCCCCTTTAGATGTGTCGTGTATCCTTCTGCACTAGTTGTCATCGTTCGGATGTACAACACTTTTCTCTTTATCAGTGCACAACGTTTATAAGTATTATGTATTTCATGATTCTCAAGCTTTTTATAGAATGGTGCAAACAAACGAGTATGTGTGTTTAGCAACAGTGGTAATTTCTTCTTCCTCCTTTTTTCTATGCATCTAGATTGGCAATTCAGACAAGTTTGTATATCTTTTTGACTCAGGTCTTATCGAAAGAAGACACCGAGACTTTAAACTTGTGCAAAAGTATGATGGAAAGAGGAGAATGTCCACCTCTCATGGTTGTTTTTGATCCTCTAGAAGGGTAAGTATGAATACAACATAAATTGGCATTATCTTTTTCTCCTTTTGCACTCTGAGTTTCACTATTAGATTTCTCTTTCTGCAGGTTCACTGTAGAAGCGGATAGATTCATTAGAGATTTGACTATAATAACAGAATATGTTGGAGATGTAGACTTCTTAAAGAATCGGGAAAATGATGATGGGGATAGCATAATGACACTTCTTTCAGCTTCTGATCCTTTAAGAACGCTTGTCATCTGTCCAGATAAACGTAGCAACATAGCACGTTTCATTAATGGCATCAATAATCACACACCGTAAGTTTCTTCCATCTCAAATTTTATTGTCTACCATCTTGGATGTTTTTGAATTGGTCAAGTGTCCACTCAATATTGGTAAATTATAATCAACGAAGAGTGTACATACTGATATCATAGTTATATTTATCTTAAAACCTATTAACTTTAGAGCAAATGAGCAATCTAAACTGACAGGATCCTAGTCAGTTAAGCATACCTAGAAAATTGACCTGACTTGTGGACTTGATATGAATAACAATAATATTTAGAGTAACCTAATAAAAACACGGTCCCCACTTTAGTCCCTTACAGAAAAAAATTAGTGTGGAGGTCCTTAAGAAATTCAAAGTGGACCCATTTAGTTGAAATTATGATTCCTCACAAATTCAAAAATGATCCACATTAGTCCTTCAAAAGGACTAAAATGGGTCCACTTTAAATTTCATAGAGACTTGCTAACAAATTTTGTTTATGTAAGGAATTAAAGTGGGGAACTTGTTTTTTGTTAGGAACCAAAAATGATATTTAGTCTAATATTTACTTGCCCCTTTTATGCAATGCCAAGAATACTTTCAAGTTAAAGACTTCTTAAAGACTCATGATCAAGTATAACATTTTCTTTTCAATTCAAGTAGCATAATTGTTTGATGGAAATAACCGTTAATGAAGTTTCTTGTTTTCATATGCAGGGAAGGGAAAAAGAAGCAGAACTTGAAATGCGTGAGATTTGACGTTGATGGTGAATGTCGGGTTCTTTTAATTGCTAATAGAGATATAACAAAGGGGGAAAGGTTGTATTATGACTACAATGGATACGAACATGAATATCCAACTGAACATTTTGTATAATTTCATTGTATGCTGGCATCACCATCGAAATTCCTGAGAAGTTCTCTGGCTCTCTCTCTCCTCACTACTAATTTATCAAAAAGCTTACACAAATTATCAATGCTTCTTGCCCGTTTATATTCTCCCTATTCCCTAAGTGCCCTGCCAGATTATACACAATTCGCAATTCAATTAAAGTCAAGGCAATTGGAATATTGATAACTACTAACCCATATGTTTTTTATTCCTTCTAATATAGGTTTTGGTAATTAGAGAAGTTTCCTGACACAATATAGGTGAGACACCACAACGATTCGATTGATGATAGCATTTAATTATATTTGCTATAACCAATGCATATTTGAGGTGGAGGATCAATTTATATAAAAGCAAGTCTTGGAATCAACTAATATTACCCGTTGATTCTATTTGTATCTAATGTGATTAATAAATTAGATAAGACTTCTTATAATCTTGGCCTCCAATTTCAACAGGCCTAAGTCTTATTCGAATTAGGATATCTATGACTTGTGTAGCTAATCCGAAATGGTTGAAATGATTGGACCATTGAGAGTATCCTTCAATATAGGAGTTCACAAGAAAAACTTCTATCACTATGGTTTTTTGTGTTCATTATTATGGAAACCAAATACTCTTTGCAAATCAGTTACCAAGAGTGGTTAAAGTAGAAGCTGTAGCAGGATCAATCTTCTTAAATCTTGTTTAGATTGTGGCTTCTTAGTTTTTCTGTATGAACCTGCCCTGTTTCTCTTAACTTACTAGTAATATGATGATTTGATAATAATATAAATACCTTTTAAGTATGATCAAATTCTTAGAAAGAGACCAGTTTTATGTTAAATTTATGTAATTTTTGTATGAACCGTAGGTTATAACATGCAAAGACTCATTGCACAAAATATATCCGAAGTCCGAAACATTGAATAGCTGCTTGGGCCCAAAGTGATCAAAAGAAGCCAGACCCGTTTGTCAGTTGGGCATTTGAACCCACTAGCACAATGGACAGACGATTAGGTTATAATTGTAATGGCCAACTAGAGATACAATACAACCCTATGCGAAAGCCACCTCTTTTTTTTTTTTTGTATATACTCTCCCAAACATGAGCATATTCTGCTAAAAAAGAAAAAGGACAAAGAGAGGGCAGAGAAAGAGATACAGAAAAAGGGTGGAATATCAATTGGATTTGGACTCACCTCACAAGTTTGTAGGGGGAGAATTAGTGCTATACGACTAATACTAAGTTGTTGTACAAGGGCAGCTATGACACTGACAAACAAGGCAGAAACAAATACACTTTCCTTCTACCTTATGATTATTGATCCTTTTTAGAGGACCACACTACGTCTATCAAATCAGACCAAAAACACAATATCTGCCCATAGCATGGTCCATAACCAATTAACTATAGCAGCTGGCAAAGCCAAAAGGACTCAGACACACAGCCACGGATCACAGTCTGATCTCAATCAAACGGAGCAGGAGCAGCCACGAGTTATGGTCCCACCCTGGCTGCTGCTGGAGAAACTCTTATGATTTGGACCGGATTGTGGTCCTACGTGAAAGTGTGTCCCAAGTATGAGCCAGAACCGGTGAGTGTTATTTTACTTAAGGAGCTATAAGGTCTAGTCAGAAAGGTTGTATCACCTGCCAAAGATTTAATATCAGAATTCTGATCCCTATGAAAGGCCTTTCTCTTCAAGTCATTCTGGGACCATTCTGGACTCCTAGACAAGACAAGTGAAGTAACAACATAGCTATAACAGTAAGTTCGGCAAAAATAAATAAATTAAATAACCAATGTTAGTTATCTATATTAGAAAATAAAAATGCTAATGTTATTTATCTATATCTGAAATGTTTTGAGTCTTTCGAGAATCAATTTGTAATTAATGGGATGGCCAAGAACTGTGATATAAATAAGATTAACCAATATTATGATCCGTTTTAATGTGCTCCTTGACATTTTCTACTGCTCCTTGAAGATTATTCAGAATGAATGATGCATCCATACATGTGGTAAAATTCTCGTTATTCGATGAAATGATGAGACTGTTCTTATGATAGTACTTACAAGATCATATAATTCTTACCGGAAAAAAAAAATACGGAAGCCAATAATCATAAAGGTAAGATTAATGTAAATGGATTATTTTTTTTGCTATATTTAATAAAAATGGTACAGAGTATTCAAAAATATTTTCCTATATTATGTGGATAATAATTTGCCAACACCTGGCTATAGTAACGCTTGGCACTAAATATTTCGAACATTGGGCCTACAAAAGCCCATGCATATCTCTACAAACCCCACAAAATAAAAACTACAAGGAAAAAAAGTATGACATCATGCCACGATGATAGGAGATAGGTTGCGTCAAGCCAACCGGGACATAGAAAAATCAATATCACATAGAAATGATGGTTTGGTTAAATAATATCATAAAGTTTTGACATGATTATGAACACATATTTTTTCTCTTTTGTGCGAGTAAATTTTAATTAAGCAGTTGAAAATAAAAATCCCGTTAAGTTTGTAAATATAAGTTACTGTTATGGACCTGACAAATGCTCACATTCTAAAATGTCCAAATAGAGCTAATAGCTAAGAAGAAATTAAAGAAATATTTTTTAATTATATTAATCCTACTACGGCAATAATGGTATCCGAGTCTCGCCGCCCCCCACTTTCTCTTGTAGCGTTTCTTAGCACAGGTAGGCTGGGCCTGTTGCATTGTCCACTCTTCAAGCTCAATGGACTCTCGTGTAAGGGGGCGTGTTGAGATATATAGTCCTACATTGGTTGTATGAGTAACTAATGTGGAGATAAGGCCTTGGGCACTCCCACCCCTTGAACAATTGGACCCTCAATACCCCTAAGAGGTCCAGAAATTCACTCCTGTCAAGTAACTCATCTATAAATAAGGGGTTAAACCAATAAGGTATACACTCTAAACCCTCTCTCTTAACTTATCACTGTGCACACACCTCACACATTGACTATGTCGTATGTATTAATGTGCATAGTGATCCACTGATCTTTAGGATATCTCCCGTATAAGTACTTGAGAGAGAGTAAACAAATCCAATATTAAAATATCAATCTTTGATTGAACATCTCGATCTATCGTATCGTAACAGTTACCCTTATATGCATTTTATGGTTGAATATACATAAAAGAAGTTCCTTTATGTTACGTACATAAGTTAGTCAAAAAAAAAAAAAAAAAAATGAACATGGATGGTGAAGAAAGGTGCAAAACCCTGCGGGTTAAAAGACTAGAGTGGATGGTAGGGCACCTATTCCAATTAACGCCATGCGGAGAAATGCAACTATCAAATAGTCCCACAAATAGCTTGTTTGGTGGAGAACTGTCTACACCATCACAGCACATACCTTTCTCCTCTCTTTTTCTCATTTTTTCACAAAAAGATTTATCCAAAGTCGTAGTATATTGGAGTTTGGGTCTGACATATGTGTGAATTGTGATTGTGAGCCCCATCACTAAGCACATATTTCAATATCAGCATCTCCATAAAACCAAAAAAATAAAAATGTTCGTTTGTATTAATTTTTTAAGAAATTTTTTTTTATCACTTCTTTATTTTAAGAGTACTTTTTATAAAGTTATAGCTATTTAAATTTTTAAAAAAATATTTGATTTTTGAAAAAAATATTTGACTTTTAACTTCTGTTTTTTTAAAAGTTAAAATTTTTAGCTTCCAAAAAAAGTAAGTTTTTGACTTTTTTTTTATGACTTCTGCTTTTTTTAAAAGCAAGTATGCAAACAGACTTTTTTCGAAAAGAGTTTTTTTTTCTTAAATAAAACAGTTTTTGAAAAAAAAAAAAGCCCATCCAAACAGGCTCTTGGTAATCTTCTCTTTGCCTCCACATATTTTCTATTCTCATTGCTTGAATTGGAACTTGAAAATACATCCTTTGGCAATGGGATGCATATGAACTCTATAGAATACATGCACTTTGTGTGTTTCAGGAAATTCCCGAACCCCTGATATAGAATACATGCATATGAACTTCTATCAAAATTGATACGGATGGATTTTTCTTCTTTCTTTCTTTCTTTTCTTTTTCTACCCTTTTATCTAATCAAGGTCAACTATGTTAGGGGTCAAATTCAAGGTCAACTGCACCTCTCGCATTCAAAGCATTCCATATTTGACGTTCAATGTATCCCTTTATGTAGAGGATAAAACGCATTAAACCCATTGGTGGACTTTTATACAAGAGCACTCTATACATAAACAGTATTCCATTCCCAATATTGGATCCTCAAATTTCTAGAACAGTTATTTTTAATATGTTCATTCATTCAACCTCCTTCGCTAACTTTACTTTGGAGTACAACCATTAAAACTACCTCCTCATTGATGCAGGTGAAGATGAAACTAGTCCTCCAATAAAGACTCAGGCTTGTTTGGTGGACACGATAGGATAAAGGTAAGATATGATATGGGGCTGATAAGTCTATATCATGTGTTGTGTTTGATGAGCACTTGATTAACAATATAATAAGATTATGTAGAAGAAGAAAGAAGAAAGAAAAAACAAAATATAATGCAATAAATACAAATATATTGGGTAGCGTGGAGATATATTAGATAGCGTGAGGATATATTGGGTATCCAATATTGGTATCATATCCTATTGAATTATAACCCAGCCTCCATAGGATAAGAAATCATGTATTGGATAGGATAAAATGAGACAATAGAATAAGTTAATCACATCTTATTGACCCACCAAACAAGAAATAAAAGTAGGATATAATAAATTATCATATCCTATCTTCTTTATCAGGTACTCCAAACAAACCCTTAGGGGGCGTTTGGTACAGGAGAAATTTTATTTTACCTGGAAAATAATTATTACCGGAATGTAGTTGGAAATATATTTTACTGAAATATTGCTAAAAAGCCGTTTGGTATACCCATATTTTCCCAGAAAAATATGATTAATTTTACTGAGTTTGTGTTTGGTT